GCTGAAAAAGAGTAGTTGTTAAAAACACCTGGCAATAAAGTCAACAAACTATCTCAGATTATACAGACAGACTGCACTGGGAACAAAGGAATTGCTCTAATTGTGTTCCCGCTGTAGAAGACCGTACTCCCTTCGACTCAATAAAAACTGAGAATGCAGGGGATTAGACGGATTTGGATAGAATGAGGTCCACTTTGGTACACATTTGTGCATTATAAAGTGCATCCAGATTTTGTAACTAGGAACCTGTTCATCTTCTTGCTTGCTTGACCACCTCAAAGAAAGCATATCTGTCTCCAGACCTCATACTTCTAAACATCAGGGGGAACAGTAAGACACTTTGCGCTCGGCGCCAGGGCAGCACTGGCCTTTTGTCAAATGCATTTGTCGGATAGTTTGCCGTTTCAGCTAATGTCAGCTTACCACTTTCAAGCCTTGCTCAGTCAGGGTGAAATCTTCCTCCAGTCTCTCAAGAGAGTCTTGCCTCTCTCCGTCGATGAGGACCTCCCTGGCTTGCTTCAGGAGGATCGTCTTCCGGCACGGAAGCGAAAAGACGAAAAATAATCGGATTCAAATTTGGAGGACGTCTCAAATGGCAACGTGGACCAGGGCAAGCGTGCAGCGAAGAACAAGCTCAGAAATGCCCACTCCAAGAAAACGGGAGTGGCGCGCATGGCGAGGTATGCGCCTTTTCTGGGGAGCACAACTAACTCCCCTTAATCCTGCAAGGCAAGGACTTGTACCTCTTGGAGGTGAGGTGCAATACCGCACAATGCCTTGGCAACAAAATGGCGACCGAAGATGATTCAACTTCTTAGAAATGCTCACAGGAAAAATGGAAAGTGCTGAAAGCAGATCTGACTCCTTGCCAGAAGTCACTGGTTCAGCGCCACTGGCATTGTGCACCGATGTTTGGGTACGCTCCTCCCTGCCAACTCAATGCCTGGTTTGTGCTTATTCAAATGAAAATTGGTCATGCGCACTTTGTGCCATAGGTGCGCACCAAATGATGCCCGCGAGCGCCGAGACTGGGGCCCCATTTCAGCCGAAATGACTGCTTAGCTATATTGGTGGGATAAGCATATTAAACCCAGCGGGGAACCAGTCAAGAAGCAAAACCTACTACGTTAATTTTTAGGCTGGTAACCTGTAAATCTGCTAAGCATGATGTTTTTGTGCTAAGCAGATGTCTATTCTTTTTGCATGGAGTCCGCAGCACTTTTCTCATACAACTCACCCGTCCATCAAATACCAGAATGACCTCCACTGTGCTGGACACCGCCATGTTGAACAGCGGCGACTGGTTCACCACGTGCACCTCAAAATCGGGGTCCTCCTTGCAGTCACGGGCAAAGACATAGGTGCAGTTGCCCTGGAAGTCAAACGTGTGGCCGGCAAAGTTCCTGTAGTGGGGGTCACCCAGCCCTCTGCAGAGGACCATTTCTGGAGGAACAAACAGCATTCCGTATGATCAGGAAACAAATTTCAGAGAGTGGTGATCTGAACACATTGCTGGGAGCCATCTACAAGCCGAGTACTTCGTTCCATCATTTTAAGGTGCTAACTTGTTTTGCTGAGCAAGAGTTAAATGCGCTTAGCGAATTTGTCATGAATTTGTCAAAACGCAGTCCTGTAGTTGAAACATTAGATCCAAACCAAAAGATTTCTGACAAGGACGGCACTTTCTCAGAATTTCCATGAAATTCTTGTAGGTAGGGCCCAAGAGCTAGTTGTGAGCATTTTCCACAGTTCCAACCATCTCACCCGTCTCGCAGTGCTCGCCTGAAAATGACTCGTGGCACTGACAAGCATATGACAACCCATCCGAGGAGTCATCACAAGTTCCGCCATTCTGGCAGGGGTCCGAGCTGCAGGGGCCCAGGGCTCTCTCCTGCGGCGCCTGCGCCCGGCAGGCGTAGACCAGATGGAGGTACCCGTTCTTGGGCCGGCAGGAGGCCTTGCTCAGGGCTGATGCGTAGAAGCTATCATAGACTGGGTAGAGGCAGGTGTGGTCGCCGTTCACGCAGTACGAGTGCTTCAGCCTCTGCAACTTCTTTGTGACATCCAGCAGGCAGTCCGGATAGTCTGTGGGGTCGTTCGCCATCGGGCACACATCCTTCTCCATCCGTCCGTACAGGGCTTTCAGGACGTACGGCTTCATCGGAGCAGGACAAGTTACTTTGCCAATTCTGCTACAAAAAACTGAAAACGAACAGGAAGATAATAGAAAAAACTTCGAAGGAAACAATTCTTGCAAAGAGACAAATTCAACCTGCACGCTCTAAATGCGGTTTGCAAAAACTATGTACAGAAACTGTGTCCAAATTCACTTTTTGCCAGGTAACGCACTGGCTGTCGCTGGCAATGATGCACACACCTATGGAAGGGGGGGGGCTTCTGCCGGTAGTCAATATCGTGCATGCCCTCTTAAAGCCATGGCGTTCAATTTTGGGCACAGCTTTTCATGCCGCATTGCGCTGTCCTTTTGACTGAGCAGGAAGTGAGAAAAGATTACAATATTTCCTCCTTTAAACTGACACCCGTTCGACTGAGGAGTAAAAGGAATCTTTCCCCAAAAGTTTATGCCTGCCGGACAACGTCGCACCTTTGACGTTCCCCATGCAGATGCTGTCGAAGATCCACTTGCCATCCCCGCCCACCGTTTTGTGGGCAAAGTAGCGGACGTTCAGGCCTCGCAGGCTTCCGTCTGTGAACGTCAGGCTCTCCCCGCCCAGGGTCAGCTCCAGCTTGGGGCTGACGAAGTTGAGGGTGAAATTGCGGGGCACGGAGGAACCGGGCGGGGAACTAGTGAAGGACTGCGTCTGTGGAGTACCGCAGTCTTCCCTTTGCGCATTGTAGTTGCAACGATAAAAGTTCACGTGGTTCCCGGACTCGATTTCTAAATGCAAAGCATGTGGAACAAACAATCTTGAAATATGTCACTACCGGGATAGTTTTGTGTATGTAATGAAGGAAAATTATACCGAAATTGCACAAGAAAAAAGTTTTAATTGAGCAATTAATTTCAATTTTACCAATTTTGTAGTAAGCGCTGGCAGACCCACTATACACCCCAAGTTTCAGAATTGCAGTTCCCACGGTCTGCACGCTGAAATCAAAGTTGGAAAACGTCTGCTCTTCGTTGATTTTACGATAGATTTCTCCATCTGCTGTAGTGACTGACTCGCATTCTTGGTCTAAAATGAAAATCCAAGTAACAGGTCGGTGACTTCAGCAACCTACTTCATCATGTTCGCGATCACACAAAGAACCTTGGCAAATTTCCTTTTCAAATAAACTTCCAACACGATAAACACACCAGGAGCAGCCAAGAAAAGAGACTTTTCCGGACGTTTCTCTTTCCATGAATAAGAAGACTGTAAGATGTCCGTGGCAGCTCAACAAATCCAAAACTGCCTCGCAACCAACTTTTTAATCTTCAACTACTCAACTTCTCCCACTGTTACAGTCTTGAATATAATCAAACAATGAATAGAGTGTGCATACCTGTGGAAATTTCACGGGACTCGGACGATGCTTGCTCTGCCGACAAAGAAAAGAGTCAATGCTTCAGTTATTCAACTTGAAACGGAACATTTTGCATGGACGTACAATCTTGAAAGTCTCAATCCCGAACGAGGAAATGAATTTTCAGTGCTAGTGAATATTTGACAGAATATGGCCGATTCACAATGCAGTACGCCACCAAGAGGTTAGCATGGAGAGGCCTTTTCGTAGTGCATTAAGGGATAAATGGTTGGCAACTTGAAAGTCTCATTCGCTAACTGCGCTAGGTGCTAAAAACTTGAATTTTTTTTTATTTGGTTGAACATTCAAAATTGCTTGTAAAGAATGGGTGTTAGGTAGTCCAGATAATGGTTTTGTGTCGTGCAAGCAACAGCTCAATCAATCAAATATCCCCAAATTACGTACCGCAAAGTGCACTTAATCGAGGCGGCACGTCAACAGTAAACTTGAAAAACGGCTTGTCTGCAGCAAACTCTTGGTGGCGCACTGTATTGTGAATCGCCTGCATTGTTCAAATCAACCAACCGTGGGGGTAATTACGAGTGTCTTTTCATCAAAAAGGTCAGTGTGCTTGGGAGAACTCTCCCTTTGGGCGGTATCTTAGAACTCAAAAAGTGGAAGAGTGTGGGTTTGCTTCACGTAATCTTTGACAGTCACAACTGCAGGTTTTCCCATTTTTTCTTGGTGCACTAAACCAACCTCCTTGGCACATCAAGGGCCCCAGTTTGACCGTGCCGTATTCCCAGCCGTTGTTGTCACTGACGTCGCCCGAGCGTACGGCGGAGACCGGGAGCGCACTCTTGTCTGTCAGGTAGCCCTCGTCGGAGCTCAGACTCTGCGCGTTGACGTCGCAGTTGCACTTTTTGCTCGGATCATGACAGCCTGGAGACGGACACGTTAAAAAAAAAGAGAAGCTTCGGAAATCAGAAAACAGTGGTTTACGCGTACATAAAGGAGCACTTTGTGTACGACAGGACTGGTAAGCACTGTAGGTATTTTTGATATCATTAACTTATATTTCTTCCCTTTTTATTCCATTCTCATCTTTGTTGGTGTGTCATTAAGTGGAGTATAGCAGACTTTTTGAGGCACTTGGTGGCAGCAAACATTCCCGTCGCATGTGACCTGTCCACCTTTTTTTGCCTTTAAACTAATATGCATATGCTCCAAATTACAAGAAAGTTTCGCATTTGTGTAGTGGACAGAATAATTTAATGCAATGGACGATGACCGCTCCATCTGTCACCTCATACAAGTACTCTCACCATGGCACTTATAATCATTCGTTATTTCTACACCGGCCTCCCTTGGACAGTCAGGTAGTACAACCCAAATGAGAATTGCATGACTTGCAACCCAAATGAGAATTCCATGACTTACAACCCAAATGAGAATTCCATGACTTGCAACCCAAATGAGAATTCCATGACTTGCGACCCAAATGAGAATTCCATGACTTGCAACCCAAATGAGAATTCCATGACTTGCAACCCAAATGAGAATTCCATGACTTGCAACCCAAGTGAGAATTCCATGACTTGCAACCCAAGTGAGAATTCCATGACTTGCGATCAGCCACGTCCTCTCCTTACTTTTATCGGCGAAGCACTGGCAACCTTCCTTGGTGTCTCCCCAGTAGGTCATCTTCTCCCCCCGCCGCGACTGCCACCAGGTGTAGACCTTCCCCGTCACGTCGTCGTTGTGCAGTGAGCCGTGGCAGCCGTGACTGATGAACTGCTTGCAGGAGGCGGCCAGAGTCGTCAGGGCCTGGAGCTGGGCCTGGGACGGCCCGTAGCGGACGGCCCGAGCCCAGGTGCCAGGCTCCTCGTAAAAGCCATCAATGTCCAGAGTGCGAACGGCATCGGGGTAGACGACAGTCACTCCTAAAAACAGACGAGTCACAAGCAGAAACTATGTCATCACAAACTTACACTTGGTGGTACTCGAGTGCAGTCCTTTGACACACAATTGAAAATTTTTAAAAAAAGGTAATTCTCATTTTCAACAGTTACAACAAAGCGCTGCGTGCTTTACATTCAGTGCATTTCTGTTTTCACAAAGTGACTCTTTTCTGAACTTCCCATGTCCAATGGTTTCCAGTTGCAATTTTTTTTAACCCTCTGGGGCTGTGTTTGTTTCACAAAAATCTGGATCACAATCGACGATCCGTCGTGACATTTACGGACACCAAACCCCGCATAGTGGATGGTGCAAACCAGCGTTAGGATCACTGAACAGACAGGCTCCAGGTACTCCATGCAGTGGACCGGTGCAAAGCCCTTCAAAGCGTTTGTCTCTAAAAAGGAGTTATCTGCTTGCAAGTTAGTTCGTGAAAATCAAGGTTATTCTACAACTCGTCAGTTTCTGCACTGCACACGCACACCTCTCTGTCAGTTCAAGAAACCCACAATTTTTATTGTGAAGCGTCCACACGCAGTACATGCACTTTAGTTCTTGAAAACAGTGATGATGAAGATCATTTGAATTTTGGGTGAAACTAAGTAGGAATACCGTAATTTGAGTTTTTTTTTTCAACCGAAGTTGCGGTCTGTACTGTTCCCTACCCTCTGTTCCGGACATGTCACAATAGACGTAGAATCGGTCCATGTTTGCGTACGGCTTAATGTAATAGTTGCCGCTCCGCGCTGCGGGGTCAGCCCTCTTGATGGCATCGCACGAGCTGAGCTCCACTGAGAAAACAAAAGGTAAATCATCACAATGTGGAGGAACAGTCCTGGGGAAAGCGAAGGGCCAGGTTCCACTGAATTGTTGAGAACACAATTTTCTACTGACGGAGCCCCCTTCCACGGGCCCACTTTCCTGATGCGACAGAACAGGACTCTGCACATACCCTTACATGTGTATACTTGTGGGGTATTTCCTGTGTTCTCATGTACAAAACTCCCACACAACACGGACAAAATCTCAAATCACTGCCATTTCCACCAAATTCAGTTTCCTGGGTTGGAATTTCAACCGTATGTCCCTTATATAAAACACTTCAATTTGCGACGATGAATGGCACTTGAAAATGCCTCCTTTTTGAGTAAATTTGAAATATCTATTTTGTGAAATTCTTGTGGGGTACCAATTTAGTACCCCATAAGGATCAAAACTGGCCTTGTGGGGTACCTTCCATTGTTCCGGTACCCCACAAGGCACCATGTAGAAGCGCACAACTGTTAGCACATCTGGGCTGTAAAATTTGACAAGGCAAGCAACTATTTCTGTATAAGTTAAAGTCTTTTGCTAACCACAATTTAACTGATGTCCTAATCCCTGTGAAAAACACTGCCTCTAGATTAAGCTAGTACAATTTTTTGGAAAGATCTCAGCACCTTCCAAAACATTCAAGCAAAATCTTACGAAAGGACTTCTTGAGAACTGCCACTGATTAGTCCGTTAAAGACGATTCAATAACATTTTTTGAACAGTTTCCAAAAACTCTGGGACAAAATGTTTCAATATGGTAGCTGAAAGCTTTACACAAGAAAGGGCACATTCGTCATCAGGAACTCCAATTTCACTAGGACACTTACTCCGGGTGGCGACGGTTTTCCCCGAGTCCTTCCAGCATCTGAGGGGGCCCAGCGTGTAGTAGCCTAATTCGTCACTGCCTCCCGTGTCGCCGTAGCGCAGCTGCATGACGGGCAGTTTGCTCTTGTCTTTCAAGACGTCCACGTCCTTCCGCAAGACACCGTCGTCTTTGTCACAGACACAGTTGTTGTTAGCCAGGCAAGCTGTCAAGGAAACGAGCAGCACTATGTAAGTCACGCCGTCCGACTTTGGTAAAATGATGTAGCTCTCTTCATGTACATTTCGAGAAAGAGCAACTGAAATATTGACCCTGTTGCCGTCTTGTCCTTTTGGTTTTTGAAGGTCGTGAAGATGTTTTTAATGTCCTAGCGACCCAAGAATTTGATATTTTTATCCGTCATCTTTTTATGGATAATTATAAAAGAATATGTGCTTTTTTTTGGAAGACTTGCAAACAGATGCAAGTTAGACTTGCATCATTTGTCTGAAGAAAAAAGTCTCACAGACGATTTGTTCATGTTGAGACACACATTATATCTTCAAAGCACTTCATTTCTCGGCTGTGATAATTTCAGAATCAGAAATAGCGCCCTCGCATTACCTGGATATCATTTTACCACAATAGGGCCGTGAAACAGTAGCGTAACATTTCAAACAATTCTGACGGATGCCGTTTGAATACTACTTTACGATTGGCCAATTCGGTATTCAAACATGTCCCTGTTTGGTGCACCCGAGGCCAGCAATACATGCTGCCCTGCCAGCGCATGCATCATTCTCAGATGGCCTTGGCCTTTCTGAAACACCCAAACCAGCCCACTGTCACAAGCTATTAAAACTCCCTCACAAATCATCCCAGCTATGAGTTTACTCAAGTGGACCGCAACAGACGAATTCCTTCGTCACTGCTCAATCCAAAGCTTCTGACCAGCCTGGGGTCCATTTTTTAAAGAGCTGGGGCCAATTTCATAGAGCTGCTTCAGCACAAAATTTGCTTCGGGGCAAAAAAACCTTGCTTAAAAGACAAAGGTTACCAGCTCAAAATCTATGTGATTGTCACGCAAACCAAAAGACAGGTGAATACCATTCCAAAACAATAAACATCACAAAGACTTTTGGCTGGTAACCTGATTTATCAAGCAAAGTTTTTCATGCTTAAGCAAATTTTGTGCTTAAGCACCTCTATGAAATTGGCCCCTGCTAAGCAGAAAATCCGGCTAAAACAATTTATGTGGTAGGCAAATGTCAGCCACGAACCAGCCACAGCAGATAAAAACTGTTGTGACAAATTGTCACCGTTTTAAAGAAGAGAGAAAAGTGCCCCAAATCGTGACTTTTTTCAAATTTCTGTTTTTTTTTCAAAATCAGCAAGGCTAACTGCTGCCTACAAGGTGGTGTAATCATTTGTTACCAAATCTACTCAAATCAGCCAAATCACGATGATCTCCACGGGCAAAAGGCAACTTAATCCACATTTACCACTTTCATGAAGAGAGAAAGTAGTCCTCCACAGACATGGAGGTTACCATTAAAGGGCAAAACCGTGGGCAAAATCCATTTTACCATCTTCAAGAAGAGACAAAAGTAACTCAGGAAATGAACACAAATGTAACAATTTGCACCTGGCACTCGCCAACACGGACCGTTTTCACAAAGAGACAAAATGCACACGAAGTCCAACGTTTTCGCGAACATGACAAATGTGTTTGTTTACAAAACAAACAATTGTAATTGATTCCTATAAATATCTTTTGTGGTTTATGTGTCATTTAAGATCTGATCTTTAATGAGGTAGCTTATTTATAGTCAAGTGAAAGTTAAGTCTTGGGGAAATGATTGTTTGCAAAAGAGACCAACGTTAAATGCAGTTTTCTCAAAGCCGGGATTTTACTCTTTGGATAGACTTCTGTTTCTTGGTGAAGACAGTGACGAAATTGCCCGGTAACGTGTTCTTGCTCGGTAAATATTTTCTCTACGTAGCAAACTTTGTGCGTTAAGCAGCTCTAAAGATTTGGCCCCAGCATCAAGATTGACTACGTCAAACCTCTGAGACCTAGAAACAGCTGGAGAAGATAACAGAGGAAAGCAGAGAGGGAGGAACTGGATTAATTTTGGAAAGAGATCTAGACAAGATGGCCAAGACCCAAGTCCTGCGTGGAGGGCCTATGCCCCTCGGGAGTGGACAGGGTTCACTGTGTCAAACCTACTCGGGTCTGTCTTCTCGTCATCAAACGACATCCACCAGTGGTACTGCACGCCGCCGACGCGAAACGCCGACCGCTGGCACTCGTAGGTGAGCGACTGCTCGCAGACGCCTGACACCGCCTTCAGGTTTTCTATCTGCCTCAAGGTGGCGCCGTAATGGATGTCCATGCTGTAGCTGCCGGGCTCCTCAAAGTTGTTGACCATGGTCCGCTCGTTACTCAGCTCGTGGTGAATGAGGGTGACACCTGCGCAACCATAAAAGACATCTCGTTACCCTGAGCTAAGGAACTTAACGCTCATGATTTGTTGTGTAAAGGCTATTTCTTGATTACTCACGTACGTTTTTATTTTTGGCCCACAAAATTAGGACTTAAAAAAAACCAAAGGCATAGCAACCGACTTTTGATATACAGCCAAATGCCATAAATAATTACTTTTGAGAGGCATTTGAACATTATTTGTTCGATATTTCTTGCCCCAACCTCGTATTTTTCACACATCCACAGAGCGATATTTGCGACCTAAACAGGTCCTGCACACAGTTACCAAGTTCCTGCTCAACACGCACAGGCCGTGCCTGTATACACAGATGGCCTCATCGTCCAATTTCTGGAGAGTTCAAAGTATCAAGTTTTCAAGAAATGCCTACCGTACTCCTGGCTTTGCATGTCACAATGGACAGTGAATGGCTTCTCTCCTCCGCCCCCGTCCGGATCGATCAGGTACACGCCGTCCAGCTCGTAGCCAATCTTCTTGTAGTCGTCGCATGTCTTCAGAATTTTGCCGCGGGGATCTGCACCATTATGGAAAATAGTTACAATGTCACTTTGTCAGCAAAAGCAAGGGTTCAACGTGTTGTGCCGGTTACCTCAGTCAATAAAGGCATCAGAGTTGCACTTAAGCCAATAATTGCTGCTTCAAAATTTATTTCAAATGAAACAGCCATGTGAAATGCACACTTGTTTTCGTCCAACTTACCACGAGCTAGCATTTGCATTAACACGATGAAAAACTGCAGGGTGTTGGAACCTGAAAAAAAACGACAAACATCTCGATTTATTAAATGTACAAACACGGCCAAAGTGTGCTCAAAGAAATTTATGAACACTCTGGCTGAAATGGACAATATTTCACACAGGATTGATAAATACCTGAGATAGTTTCCTTATCCAACCACTTGCAACATGACTGTGAATTAACACTCGATAATGCTTGCTGCTATGTGATAAGGCCCACTACGTAAAGCACGCTCTGGCACCTGGACACAAGACAGTTTCATCGACTCCGATTGGTCAAGAGTCTGTGTGCACGCGGCAAGCAGAACTTGCCACGCGCGTGCCGAGTCCATATAAGGAGATTCTTCTGGACTACTTGCACAAGGAATATACCATCAAATGGACGGGGGTGTTCAGGGAAAAGGAAGTAATATTCTTGAACAAAATCCTGGGAAATTAATCGTATATTGATTTCTTTAGACTCTGTGACTAAAATGGTATTTACGAATAGGAATAAATATTTGTTTGGTTAAGAGAATGAAGGCCTGCGGCTCGAGAATAAGTTGCATCCATTATCCTGAGCCGATTTTAAACATTTAAATGGAGTGCCATGAGTGAAATCTTTTTTCAACAGAAAAAAGCCCTAAATGACAGAACTTTTACAAAACTTCTACGTAGGGAAAAAAAACCATTGAAGAACACTTACTGAGATCACCGCTGCACTTCAGAGGGCCAACTTTGAGTTTGTCCTGCCCCTGTTGGGCGGCAGGTTTCTTAAAGACGACCCGACGGACAGGAAGGGTGTCTTTGTCGGTCAGGGCTCCCCAATCGCTCGTCCCTTGGCCGTGGTCGCAGTTGCAGGCGCTTCCTTTGATGAAGCACGCTGAAGTGAAACGATGCAAAGGAACCGAAAGGGGCATTGTATGGAGTGAGTTACAGGCAAATCCTCATCGCGCAGCTTAGCCAAACGCAAGTCACATTTGGAACAAGATCACTTCATAAAAGTCAAGTCGGGAACCATACACAGGCAGCACGGGCAGCGCAGGTGGCTAGCGCACAAAGCATTTGCCTCTCAACAACACAGCCTGGGTTTGATTCCCCGCCCCGGTCATGTGAGTGGGGTTTTTCACTGGTTCTGTCCTGAGCCATGAGGCATGAGCACAGCTATGGCATATTTGGCAGCTGCCTTGAGGCTGGTTTAGGCTGGTTCAAGCTTGACTTAAAAACAACTACAAACTTTACGCTGTGATATCAGATCATGTAATTCGTGCTCTGAATTTGCAAAGTTGAGTCCATTTCAACTGGGGCAAATTTCACCGCAAGTGTTTCATGACATCGCATTTGCTTCAGTTTCGCCTGAAGTATGAACCCACCTTAAGACACCTTGACATGCCTCAGGTCGACCAACTTGTAGCTAAATCCTTCATTAATAAGATAAATTAAGAACAATAAAACTATGGAGCAAAAGTTAGTAAAATTAGCAAAAAAAAAACCAAAACACGAAAAACTGGAGTTGTTGACCCCAGAAGTTCAATATGTTCTAAGCTTACCGATTAAAGTTCAGAGTGCTCATTAATTAAGACCCACCATTTGTTAGTCCGCAGTGGCACTTGCTGACGCCGGTATCCACCCCACCCCAGTTGTCTCTCTTCGTCCCGTCCAGACTCTCCCACCAGATCCGCGCATCTCCGCCCACAAAGTGGACCGACTTTTGGATGCACTCATGTGACAGCTCCTGCTCGCATGTCTCCGAGACGGTCCGCAGGGCGGCGAGCTGGGCTGGCGAGGCACCGTCGTACGTGATGTCGACGTCCGCTCGGTCCTCACCGGCCGGGTATGTCGCCACAGTCGACTCCTTGCGATTGTGGTTGATAATGGTTTCACCTAAATATTTTGTTCGACATTAACAGTAAACAATAAGAAATAATTGTTCAGTAACAATAGGAAATAACCACACACAATAACAAATTCCAAAAACACTTCTTTGAAAATATTAGATGAAGTTTTTATCGCATGGTCTTGAACACTGCTTAATTTGAATTACGCATCTACACTACCAGTGTGTCTAAACACAACGAGATTTCCCCAAAGACTGCAAGAAGTGCGGCTACTGACTCCGGGTCAAAAAAAATGGGTCTACGGCTAAGGCTAGGTCTTTGCCAACTGGAAATGCATGGGCTCATTCAGTCAACAGACATAGCCACTGGTCTGTGGTAGCACATAGTGAGGTAGGCCTGATGCATCTGCCTATTTGAAATGTGGCCGACACAACAGGAAGGAACCATTTGGTTTGGGTAAAATCTTTTGTACGCCCTCCAAATTTACCCACTTCAAATTGCGCCCCCTATTGTGTCCGCCACACTTCAAATAGGCTTAATGAACTAATTACAATAACATCACTGTTTTCTATGGCAACGGTCAGTACAGCTGTAGTTGTGACCGGCACAAGTCACCAGGCTGATTGCCTGCAAGAACGAGTGGACAACGGCGATCAAAGGGATGTCTTTCATTCGTTTAAATAACCTGCATTAGGACCTGGGCCTGGACAGCTGACAAATGGTGAAGACCCTTATGTTACAAACGGCAAATGCCCAAGCGGACCAAGAGAGGGCGCAATTTCCCTAGCAACAGAGGCTCCTTTGCTGGCTGCTGCACTTCGCTGGTCCACAAACGACTATGACATGCAACACATTGCGGTCGCGTAACTACCAACAAAATGAACACTCCCTACCAACGTGGCTTTTTCAACCAACGAGGGGGTGCTTCTGCTCAAGGTGGATACCAATGAAGAACGTAAACAAAAGCTCACCCTTGTCCATATCACACTGCACAACAAACGGCTGTTCTCCTTTATTGACTCCATCGGGGTCGATAAGATATTCCTTGTCGTCGACAAAGCCATACATCTTGTAGGCAGCACAGGTCGGCAGGGCTAAACACAGGAAAAATGATCAACAGGAAATCTGGGAAAAGTCCTCATCATCAACGCTGTGTTTGCACATCAGTGAAAGTGGCAACCAATCAACACACATTACTACAAAAACATGTTCAGTGATGCCCAAAATTGTTTTAAGAGAACAGATGACCGACGTTTTCACTGGTAATCTGAAACAACTCACTCAGGAACAGCATCTTCCGTCCCTGGTACTCGATCAGGGTGAACGGCAGAGTGATGAGCTGTGTGTTGCCGCCTTCCCCGACGATTTGGAATTTCATTCCGAACTGAGTTGACGGTTTCGGCATCACATCTACAAAGACATTTACAAAAATCTTTCATCATACATAGACCAATATTATAATTAAACCCATCTGCTCTGTAATCTGTAAACAATGGTGCAAACATAACATGATGAAAACCTTAGAAAGACCATGAAAATTAGTTTAGGTAGGCCGAGCCTTTCTGCTGTAGGAAGCAAGACCATTCTGTTATCCTTCAACCCTCCACCCACCGACATCTTTCAAAAGTCTTGCAGGAAGTTTTCAAGCCGCTGTGGTGTGCGATGCTCCTCAGAAATGAAAAGCACTTAGAAAGTTTTAGAAAGATTCTTTAGCGGATTTGTCTTTGAGGAAACCACAAGGCCAGACACAAGAAACTGGGTGAATAATGAGAAACGAATGCTTTCGTCACAGTTCATTGGAAGACGTTGTGACTTGAATTCAGGCTGGAGGTCTGTTGGTCTGATGATGGTCTTGTGACGGTCTTGCGTCGCAAGGATTTTCCCCAGAAGGGGTTTGGGCAACGTACTTTTTCCCAGGGTGGGTGGGGGGCTTCAAGTAGTCTAGACTACAACATTGGTTTCTGGCACAGAAAACTCTTGCACATGAAGGGGAGTTCAGACCACGCAAATGTACCATTGCTCTGACTTACTGAACACAGACGACAGAGTGCCCTCAAAACCGTTGTAGCTGACGTAGAAAGGGATTTTGATGTCTTGAATCTGTTTGGTCGTCTCGTCGTAGAACCTCAGCGGTATTCTCAGGTTGTAATCTTGCAGCTCAGCTACAAAGAGAAAAACATGAAAACAATATGTTTAATTCTGTTGGCCCTAATGCCACTTTCAAAACTGTTCCAACTACCAAGTCCACAGTTGAAAAACATTTGCAAAGATATGCTCTCACAAAATCCAAATGACCTAGAAATCCTGATATACGGCTGATTACAAAATGGTCATATCACTGGCCTCAGGCCGGCGGAATCACTAACAGTTAGCACAACGCTTACAGAAATACAAAGGAGACTTACATCGGAGCTGTTGGTTCATGTTGGCAAATGTCAAGAGGTAGTCAATAATCTGCCGGTTGCCGCCATCCAGGAGAACTTGGAAACTTGATGAGGAGGGGGACGGAACGGTGACTGCAAGATTAGAAAAAAAAACAACAGAAATTTGGGTTTAGTTTTCCTAAGCTGGTTATAGTGGAGCAAGGAACGACGCTTGGCATTCCAGACAGAATTTGCAGGTGTGCTGCTGGGCAAACGATTTGTGTGAAAACCTAGACGATTTTAACAATAACATTTGCCTCTTCTTTGAAACTTCTCGGGAACTTCGTTTGTGGGGAAAACTTGGGACAAGTAGCTGGGCTTTCAGCCATGATCCAACTGCACATCGACTGCACTGTCCGGCTCTTTGTGCTCTGCCGTGAAACGGCCTCTTCGAGCAATTCGCGACGGCCAGAAACTAACCGGTCTTTCCTGTGGTGGCGTCCACCTCAGTGATCAGCTGGTATATCGACGGGAAGAAAGCGGTGAGACCCTTGCCGATGGAGAACTGGAAGGGCGGAGTGATGTCCGACGGTTCTGTGGGTGAAAAATCAGAAAAAAAGAGGACATTCAGTTGGACAGAGCAAGTTGACAGCAGGATTGAACTCTGGAAGAATGCAGTGACTAGCACCTGGAGCTAACCGGTCCTATGTGGTCCCACGGCGACAGTTTTGGGAAGTTAAGGGAAAAGAGATTCTGAGAAGTGTGAAAGCTACCGATTAAAAGTGAATTACTCTGTCAACAGACCAGTAAACAACTCTTCCTACATACTCCCAGCAGGACCTGAGTAACTGCAAGATTTTCGTGAGGTGAAGACATACTGTTGTACATGTTGTAGAACGTGAGCCCCTTGTTGAAGTCTTCAATCAGTTGAGCAAATGTGAACTGCTCTGTGTACTGGGTTAGCTTGCTCAAGTCGATCTTCATCAAATACTCAGCACCACCTGGGGATGAAGGAAGATGAAATGTGCTAAAAACAGACAGCGCTTAGGACCAAATAAGGTCAACACAATGCCTCTGGTAACAAAACTTGGATCCCCGGGGCAGCACCTCTGAGCAATTGAGGCATGTATCGCAAAGACAAATAAATAATATTGCACATTCACGGCCTGATATGAGGAACGAATGAAACAGACAATAATTCCAGAGTTAGTGGAACTTGGAGAGTTATGGTGCAAACAGCAAGGGCATCTTTTTCACACGAGAGGGTTTCAAATTTAGGACTTGAATTTGACCACAGACAGCGTATCTTTTCAGAGTCACGGGGGCGCGCTATTAGGCAAAGACATTTTTCAGGGAACTTGAAGGGGCAGAACTCCCAAGACTAGGTTCAAAATGGTGACCTGTGCAACCTTTGAGTCACAGATGGCCTAAAACTAGATTACGACTAATCAGTCACATAGACTGTCTGTCTGTCAGTCGGTATGTCTGTTAATTACCAGAGGGTTCTCCGGGTGACAGTGGCTGCCAAGTGAAATACTTCTGTCCGTTGGAGTCTGTTTTCACGATGATCTTCATGATCACCTGAGTAGAACCTGGTGAAACTTCAAAGGAATCCGAACCACAATTGACATGAAAATGTGAAGGATTATAGCGCTATCAATTCATTTATTCATTTGACAATTCATGAAAGCTCAAAATAAAATCTTGAAATCATTTTTAAAATTGTGAAAACTCTTTTAAGCAGGTATTTCAAAATAAATCCAACTCCGTTGGCAACTGCCGATATCCAGTTTTGTCCATCTGAAGTTATGTCACAGATAACATCGTTTGCACTTTTTAAAACTCAGTTGTAATAAAGTCAGTGATGTTTACAGAAATTTTGGTTAACCACGAGCCAACATTCAGGAATAAACGTTTTTAAAACCTCGCAGAAGAAATACCTCCAACAGGCCTGAAGAGGGAGGCAAATCCTTCGAAAGGCTCTCCTGAAGAAAAGGCAAAGAGAACTTCAGTTTCAATACGGGTTTCTGGAAAGTTGAAACTTCGTTTGTAAACACACGCAAAGACACAAAAGAAGCATGAAGGCCCTGGCATGACAGTACAGAAGACGCTCTATTGAAATCCAAACAAACGTTTGCAGGAGGAAAAATCCACTTTAATTTCATGAATAACACATTAACCCTAACCCTCCTCAATCCTTCACCTGTTGGAGGATTGAGGAGGGTTAGGGTTAACGTGATGTTGTGGAACAAAACTTCTCGATTCAAGACCCGACTTGACAAAAAAGAGTCGATAATTTCCACAGCCAGTTTTGAGTAGAATCTTGCACAATGTCAATTTAGCAGCCTTCAACAGTTTTCACCCGCATTGATGTCCATATTTATCAGGGTACTAACCTAGACCCAATCTCACAGAGCTGCTTAACAGTTAGTAGAGAAGTCGTACTCACTTCAGCAGGAAAAAATGGCTAACCTGAAGCACTATTTCATGATGGTGTTTGCGTTAAGTACTAACCGTTGCATGGGCATAGAGATTTCCATTGTTACATTACTTAAATTTATGCCAATCTTTCGTCCAAGATTAGCATGCCTTTGTGCTTACAGCTGGAGCCAATTTCAACGAGCTGCTTAAGCACAAAATTTGCTTTTAAAGTGCAAAAAACTTTGCTTAAAAAACAAAGGTTACCAGCTCAAAATCTATGTGATTGTCGTGCTAACCAAGACACAGGTGCACACCATTCCAAAACAATACACATCACATGGAGTTCTGGCTGGTAACCTGATTTGTCAAGCAAAGTTTTTCATGCTTAAGCAGCTCTACGAAATTGGCCCCTGCTTACGGTCTCCATGAAATGCGTGGAGCCTCATGAACTTGGGCACTGAGTGACGCCTCAAAGAAAAGAGTTCAGTTTGCTCTCTTTAACACAAACTGAAACAAAGATTACGGGGGGGGTGGGTGGCTGGTTTTAAGACTCATCGTGTGAGATTGAGTCACCCGCATTCTCTCACGGTTTGAACCCACTTCAATGTTCTCACAATCATTCACTGAATCTTAACTACCCCTTACCTCCCCAAGTGAAGCTCCTCTCTGTACCGTCGGGCCTGGTGGAGCTGATGCTGCCCTGGGCTGTAATTTTACCTGTGGACGTTGGGAAGAAAGACCTTCTCTGAATCAAACTGCCACCGCCGGGGGAACTCCTGAACTTCTTTCTGAGGAGTTGCACCAACCTTAAAGCAACATTTCTTTGGATCACGACCGACTCACATTTTTCTTGTTAGGAACAGTATAACCACAGTGTAGACCATTTGCTGCCTAGCCGCTTGATAAAAAAAGGGAATATTCTGCTATACTTTGCAAGGAGGGATAAATACTAGAAGGGTCATTCTATAAACTCTATGAGTTCTGCCACAAAACGCTCCAATTAGGTGAATCTTGCCCTAACGAGGCTTCAATTGAATTTGAAAATGAAGATGTGCTAAGAATCGATGAAACTGGACACCAGTTCTTACCCGGCTTTGGGGCTGGGAGGCCACCGTTCCAAATGAACGATTTACTGCCTGATTCTCCTTGAGACACTCCAATGCTGCCAGAAGCAGAAATAGCTGGGAGCAAAACCAAGAAGTGAGAGTCGCTCGAAAAATAACACCACTAAATTTAACTAAAGAAATAACGGTTTGAGCTAGAGGATTCAGATGCCAACACGACTGTGCCACTCTCTGCAGCTCTTGTGCGAGAATGTAAAATATCCTTGAACCTGCAAAAACACGAATTGTTTGAAATGTGGCACCTCATGCTTTTAGTTTGGATAATTCAACGTGGCCCAAGGTAAATTACACTTTATTAACAATCATGGCAGTTTGTGGGTTTTCTAAAAAGGGTAACTGATGGGACAAATCAGGTTAAAAGTCACAGGTGATCAAACTTGTCAAAACAAACAATAACATCTTTTCATGGTTACCTTGTCCGGGCTTCAGAAGGCTGAAAATTTCTAGGAAAGAAAGGAAAAAAAAAATTATTTCTCTTGTCTTGTCTTTTTTAGTTTTCAAACGCAACATCACTGCAGAGACCGATTTGGGGGGAATCAACCCATTCAGACAAAAATTATGCATATTATTCACGGTGATGACATTCAAGTTTTGAACCTGTACTGTTGAAAAATTTGAGCATGGGGTTAGAAACAGTAAATAAATACTACTCGAATGACCCCGGTGCGTTACTTTTTGTGGTATTTGGCTGTTGTGCCATTTGGCTTCAATATCTTGCCTTTTCGAAACTCAAACTTTCCAACTGAAGTAATACCAACTCCAAGTGGTAAATTCAAGGTACTCACGGGGGCCACGTGGGCGTGGGGCGGAGGTCGTCTCCACAGCAGGATTGCCATTTGCTGCAAAATCACATTTTGTCAAAAAGTTACACTTCTTCCAAATGATTTCTAAAATTGTTAACGCTGTAAAAAAAAAACGGTAGTGAGAGCAATTAACTTTTCTTCAACTTAACAATCCGGTCAACAAAAAAAATCAGAAACCGTTTTGATGGCGCTGATTGTACGCTGCTTGAAGTCAAATAATTAATTTGAAACTTAGAAGGAACATGCTACAGTTCATTTTCAATGAACGGCAACAAATCTGCGCCACGTCGTCACAAGATTCATGTGGGCAACGGTGATAAAATTTGCACTATGTGTGGATGAGTGATCTCTCCCTAAGGAACTTACGTCCTGGTCTCTCAGGTCGGGGCTGCTCTTCCTCAGGGAGTTCGCTTCCCTGAGGCGTATCGCGCTCGTCTTCTTCGTCTGTACAATCATCAAGTTTAAGAAAAAAACGAAAGGCGTCAAATAACCACTGGAGGTCCCGTAAGGGTTGCCTGAGTTGTAAGATCTGGTTGGGTAACACTGCCGGACACAAATCCAGTTATAGACCAGTTATAGGACCCGCCATAAGTGAGACATTTTTGCTTACAGATCATTGGAAAGCTTGTAAATTTGTGATAGTTTAATGATGGTCTGATTGATCGTACATATCTCCTTAACTTTTTCCCTGTGTGGAGTCCCAGACCGCTCCTTTAGAGCGCCATTCATCTTAAAGACCCAATATGTCAGCTTGATCTATGATTTTTCCCACAATCAAAAGCCTACATGTACGTAGAGCTGTCCTGACACACTCATTCCAAAAGCCACCAAATTACTGCCTACTATGTTGGATGTGATCCGTCGACTTGAATGTTAAAGCGAATGATAAAAATTACAAACCCTACAATCAGGCAATTTTGTGAAATTACATTAAAAAAAACGAATGTTATTCACTACCGTTAACATCAAGTTAAAGTCCATGGACAGTAATAAAAATATTAATGAACAGATCTGCATAGCACATTTGCCCATGGATACAATGTGCTTCAGTAAAGAAAGCTCATGAAACACGCCAAGAACACCCATTACACATCACAGCTACACATGTCATCCATTACCTTCTTCTTCAGCATCTGTCGAGACGCAGACGTACTGCACCGAGAGGTATTTGTTGGTGTTCAGACAGCGATCCTTGAACTCTTGGGGGCCCACAGGGACCGTACACTCGTCCTTGCCGCGGCATTCCAGGCACACGTGCTCAAAGGACTCCCCCGTGTCGTCGTCGCAGAAAATGTCATCAATGCCAGGCCGGTAGGTACAGTTGACGTCGGAGCCCTGCCGGCCGTAGTTGGCGTCCAGGATCTTGATGACTTCCCCTGGGTTGGGGCACTCCAGCACCAAGTCGGTGCCATCGCACGCATACTTGGTGTTGTACGTTGGAGAGTCTGAAATAAAAAATGACATTGATTTCTTGAGTCATGAAAGGACTGTAGAACACGTCAATTTGGAAAGAGAAATAAATATTCTACAAACAGACACAACCAATTTTTCCTCCAATTTACCGATTAGCAATGTTAAGTTAAAGCATAAACATTTAGCACGGAAAATATTGAGGGATTCACATGGGAAAACACAATTTTTCAGACCATTTAATCATAATGCAAGCATTTGCACAGCCTACAGGATGTCAAGCGGCATTCATCTATCTTATTGTACCGTACATGGAACTTTCACCAGGACTCAGGTACATCCAGTCACACCATGAAGGTGGTCACACTAGGCAGTAGGCCTAGTACCATGACTAACTTTACTATTACTAAGTACTCAGTGATGTCAGCGTGTGCCAGGCCAAGTTTCACTGTGGATTGCATAGGAAAAATAGAGGGCCTGCATGGAGCGCCCTCCCAGAGGACATGCTTTGTTATTGAGATTTAATGACAATGAACGCACAAAAGATTCCCACGAGCCTATCCTAGAGGAAGAAAGGAATGCCCTCTAAGTTTAATCATGGAGGAAGGAACACCCCCTCCGTGTCAACCGAACGTGGCGTTACAATAATTATACGCAGGCCCCGGCAGAGCAAGGAAACATGTTATCATGGTTCTCCATAATAACCGAATATCTATCATTTCATTTAAGATATACCCTCCGAATATACTGCTTCGAGCAGACAATAACAGAATTTTCTCAGGTTACCAAAATGAAGAGCAGTGTTTCCTTGGATTTTGTCATTATGTCGCGACACCGCGTACCTGTTTCAAGTTTCCCGGAAGATTATAGTACTGTACTGAGTTTTGACAGAAGAACGCCCTCTATAGTCTGTCCAGCTCTATTAAATTAACCAAAGGGGGACCCTTGCCGAACAACTCGTACCGTCGAGGAGTAGTCTTGTCCTCAATGGTCCTGCCCATCACAATTATTTCAACATAATCACAGATCAAAGAGCTCAGTATATTTCAGGGTACCTCTTGGATTGCATTCCGACGGTGTCTCGCTGCGGCAGTAGTACTCCACCTGCAGATATTTCTTGATGCTGTCGCACGCCTCCCCGAAGACGGAATTAGCCGCCTGCACCTCGCAGGTATGGTTGCCGTCACAGTGGCGGATCGTCTCGAAGTTGGACTTGTCGGCCCTGCAGGGGGCGGGGAGGGGTGCCATCAGGTCCTCCTGGCAGATGGTTGGATTGGCACGGCCGTACAGGGCGCTCCACACCTTGATGAACTTCTCTCCGCAGTCCAGGCGGAGAATCTCTCCTTCGCAGGCGTATTTAATTTGCATGTTGACGAAACCTGCCGTGGTTCCTGGACGGGGTGGAGCCGGGGCGGGTATCAACGACAAAATACATCTTTATTTTTTAAATAAGTTTGAAAATGTTCGTCGGAAGCAATCTGCTGTCTTTAATCCTCCTTTAACCCTTTAATAAAATTAGCTGACAAGACGAGAGAAAGAAAACCTTTCTTTTACAGTCTACCATCTCGATTTGTAATGTCTATTTGTGACCTTCTTCCCGTGAGAAACCATCAACTCATATTAATTTCCCTTCCTATTTTGTCGATGAACTGGCTTCGATTTTAAAACAAAGAGCGTCTTGCTTGATAGTTTAAGAAAATATGCTTAGGGCACGGGCTGGAAAAGGCCAAACGTAATTAAAATTCATCAGAACTTTGCCTGTCAGTTTGATCGAAAATGAGCATCATTAACTACTGTCGAACGATAGAATAATGTCATTTTATCGATGTACTTACGGGCAAGAGCGATCAGCACGGCTGCCAGCAGGAAAGTGCTGGGCTTGAGTCGGGACTTGTCCGGCGGCATCATTGCCTCGTGACGCTGAGTTGAGGGACAGGCGTCACTTGGCAAGCTGGAAGAATTAATAAAATTGATGTCATTTTCCTTATTTCGTGCAGTGTTTTCCGAAAACACTTCGCTCAGATCATGGAATCGTTCTGATTCAATTCAATGCACATCTAAATTGGCCGACAAGTTAAGCTCTTTCTGTTCAACAAAGTGGTTACAATTAATAACTGTACTCACAGACAAAACCACAAAAGCCTATCGACGGCATTTATTCGTTCAAAGTATCTGAAGATTGGCGTAAAACTACATAAATCATAGCGCTGAAAATGTCTAGAAAGGGATGTAACAAAATCGATATCATCCAATCGATGGAAAAATAACTCTCATAACACTGCACGCACAGTCGAGCAAAGTAAATTGCCTTGTTTATTTTATTCCTTTCGATATCGTTTTTAAAGTAAATAATATTTACTTCATCGTGATGAAAAAATGGGCGAAAGAATGAAAATTCTTACCTATCTTATTACTCCCAAACGCTCAAAAGGAGAAATGATTATAAATTGGGAAGGGTCCGTCCTTTCCGCTGTGTTGATGGATGAAGCAATACAAAATTGTCGCTGTGCTGAGGCGGACGTAAGTTGACAGGTGTGGGATAAAGACAGTGAAATAATCAATATTCATTCTTTGTTTTTGATTCCAAACGAATCGATAAATGCCCTATTGTGTTTGATAGTGAATACATTGCATGCTTTATACCCAGAAAGAGATTTGGATGGTTCATTTTTAGTCAATTGGAACTTTTAAATATGATCGTCAAGACTGTTATGACGAATTCGCAAGCTTAGGAATTAATTTTATGCTCGTCCTGAAGATTAAGCATTTTGTGATTTTATCAATTTTATGACAAAACTACCGTTTTCCAACCTGTTCATATTTTCATAGCCAAAACTGTACGTAAAACGGCATGTTTGGGTCACTTATTCCGTATTTGAACCACCCTGATAAAGAAATCCCTTCTAAAAACTGTTCCCCCAATTTGGAAGGGATGGTTCGTCAAGCCTTGAAATCGAGCCTTTCAGGGAGCGGACATACTGCCCGCAATAGAAACTGTCCACATTTTTATGACGAATATCCCTAAAATATGTCAATGGGCCTTGGACGCGTCATAATGACTGTAATCAATAAAGGCAAACAAATCTACAGCGTGAACTGGTGTCTTGTTTCTCACGGGGATTACAGAGTTTTTTCCACTGAAAAAAATCAACGACGGCCATGGTAAAATTAGTGCACCGCCCTCTGTTGGCCTTCTCGACACAGATTAGATTTTTTTTTTAAGGAGGAAAAGTGCAACTGATACGTCGGTCCACTAATCGAATATCCCAAATAAATATTCTCCCCTGTCGGATAGTAGTGGGATAGGTTGTCAGACTTCTAACCAGGTTAGACGGTCAGCACATAAAACAAAACTTGCCCAGCTAATAAAGAGTTACAGAATGACGTTTCGAACAATGAACGGTTAAACTCTGCTGTGATCCGATATACCCGGAAAGATATGGAACAGAGAGGTACCCCCCCCCCCACATGTCCAAATTCTATACACAGACATTCTAGACTGTTGTTACCTAAAACATCCCCCCTAGATGTCTGAAAAGAATTCCTAAAATTCTGGTCGAACAATGACCACCCATGGACCAACACAGTACAATGGGAAGGGGATTCTCTCGATCCCATATCTTGCTTTAAACATGGAGGAAGGAACACATGTGTTCCTTCCTCCATGCTTTAAATGTAATCTGAATCCGACAGAGCAGACTGTCAGATTGAACGAGATCTTTCAATCTTGTCATTGATATTCCCTCCGCTTTAGTGTGCTCACTCTTCCTCTGTCGTTTTGATTTGTGAGGGTCGTTTCTTTTCCATTATTTTTGGAGGAAACATTGCTAGTGTTGGATTGTGCAAGATTATGCCATTCACGCCCGAACCCGTTATAATTTTATACGAAATAACCACCTGCGTTTCAGAAGTCACAAGGGACCTGTGGCTGTGGGTATGCCTTTGTAGGCTGAAGGGGGGGGGGTTCAGACCGAAACCCACCGCCACATTGAGCGAGCTCGCACGCCTGGCAGAAATTTACCCTCGCTGCTCTGCTCAACGTAGTGCTGGGCGACGAGCGAAATCAAGTCTCTGAGGGGTCCCCCAGGTGTGGCACTGCATTGCACCCGACAAAAATGTCCCCTGCCACTCAGAGCAAACTGCGATGCCTCATTCCTCCAGGATTTAATTCAATCAGCACTTGAATATAACTTATTATTATTGTCTTTTCCAGGATACATTCATACCTCTGTAAACTAAAGTAAAATAAATAAAATGAAAAATACAATTCTAAAACACACTGAACTCGTAAAAACGCAACACAAAAACACAAGCAGTAAGTTCAGAGGATAAAATATACCTTAATAGCAGCGAGTTTCAGCTGATCCAAAGGGTTAAGGATTTTGGAGTTCCTGTAATTTAGAGATGACATTTATAGAAGAAATACAAATATTCCATTCGGGTATTTTTAAAAATCAACATTAGCACTCAATAACAGAACAAATGTACATGTACCTTACATTCCAACCATAATGAACATTGAAAGTGGGGTGGCAGAACTGGTAACAATAATTTTGTGCGGTTTTTTGGGAAGGTAGAAACTGTCCTAAGAAATACTATTTACATTCCATTCTTTCAACATGTGAACATTACATTGTTCTAGAGTTTTTCATGGATCAAAAGCAACTAATCCTCAAAAAAGCTAGTTTGAACTTGAGTTTAACTCCAATCCCTGGTCCAGCAATTAAATTGAGAATTTACACTTCTAAAATTTACCACATCTGAGAACAATGCCCTCTCAGAAAGTTGACCAGGCGTTAAGTGCAATTCAAGATAACCAACACCCTAATGATCCGTGTTACAAATTAAAGTTGTTTCGGGGGCGTGCTGAACTTGCGCTCAGAAATGGTTCCAAATATGCTAAAAAACAATCCCTTTTTTCTTTCCAAGCAGAAAGTTTTACTCTGCAAATCCATAAATAAGAAAACACACAGCCACGCTAACGGCATTTATTTCACTGTGTGATGAAATTTATAAACTAATGTGCATTTCTTATAATTCCTCCAAAAAAAAATTCAATGACAGTAGAGGAGACTCACCTGAATGTAGTTTGCTTTCAAATAAACCTAATATCAGAAAAAGGTGAATTCAGGGCTAACTTAAAAACTAACAGAAAAGACAAGCATATCAATAAATAATAATTTGACATTTCTGTTCTTCAAAAATTTAAAACCTAAATAAAAGTTACAGACACTTTGCAGGTACTGACACAGACAAAATAAGGAAACAGACAAAAGAAAAGGAAAATACTCTGGACCACCAAAAGTCTTTTCTCAACAACAACCCCCCCCCCCCCGGCATTAAAATTAACAGCCTCAATGATGTCTGTCCTAAGTTCTGAGTGTTCTCAACATATCAAGGTGTACACTGGGTTAAAGGAAGGTTCAGAACTTGAAAGTGGAAGGGAGGGGCAAAAGGGACGGGGAGGGGGGGGAAGAGAACACAAGTCTTCAGATTAGTTTAGGCTGTCTTCAGAGATTTATGTCCAGTTAATCTCCGGCTCATCTCAGTATTTGCCGTTTTTGCCCAGTAGCAAATCCTGTGTATACATGTGAAGGTTTGTTATGCATTTTTGGCCCAGGATGCGCTAAGCATGCAAGAGCATTTGAATGTAGTCTTTAGTGCATGAGCCTGAGTGGAAAACTTCCCACCAGCCTGTCTTTCTTTGGCCGGTGAGGGAGTGCTTCAACTCGAAGTGGAAAGATCAATGGTTGAGTGGTTTTTAAAATATATGAATCGACTCTTGATAAGTTCCCTGTCAATTCCTTTGATTGATAACAACAGATCAGATCTAGTCCAAATGTAAATTCACTATACAGCAGTTTGCATTAAGCATTAAGCAACTTCAATTTCCTCTCTGAAGTAATTTACACACAATCAAATGTGTCAATTAATGAACAATGTGCACGAGCATGCAATTATTTACAATGGATTATACATTTCACTTTCCCTTTCTACTTGATTGGTGTTACTTTAATTTTCTGCTTGTGCAAAGCAAAGGGTCCATCTTGATTATAGCGAAAATGAGGCGCTGGGTAGTTTCTATGAACATACACCTGTGACCTAAGGCAGAGTATAGAGGTGAATATGTCACTGGTACATTTATGTGCAAAAAAGGCATTAGCATGTGAACCAAACATGCATGCAAACTCCATACATGTGCATTACACTTCCTGGTTGAAAAGGATATCACACTTCCGTACTCTACAGATGGGGTTTCTAGTTTGCCAACATACATGTACATGTATGTGTTGTGTCATGTTACAAACAGCACAGTATTATGGCTTAGAAGCCTCTTTCTTGCTAGGCCAAATCCACAGCCGCATCCTTACATTGATTGCCTACAGCACATGTGCCTAGGAAAGTGGCTAGCCAACAGCCACAGCCCTTTGCCATGGTCTTGTGTTACTACATGCTGCGGCTATCAAGTTCTCTGGATGCATTAAAAAAGCTGGTGTGCTTTAACAATTGGCCTTATTCCTGAGGAAGTCATTTTTGGTCTTGTTCACTGAATCGTTTCATAAACTGTTAACTGTTGAATAGGTGGTATCAGACTAATTCTGAGTTCATGTAGGTTCTAAGCCTCACTTTCATTTTGTATTAATCAAAGTGTGTTTGTCACAAATATGAACTCACTAGCTTTCACAGGATATTTCGTGTTATTCTTCAATATCAAGAATAACATGTAACTTCACTTTCAATTTCAGTATGTCCGACTCCCAAGTAAAGTCCATTCTTACCAGTCAGACCTGATTAAAAGTTAATGATATGTGGCTCTCGTTAAACCAACAGAGCTACAGAAAAAAAGCATTACTAACTCAACTGCAAAAGGAGCCCAGGTCAGGGCCCAAACTCATGATTCCGCTTACACATACATGTAAGCAAAGGAATCTCTGCTTATTCGGGTGGAAAATTACCTACTACAAAAGTAAGCAAAGGAAAGCAAAATGTGCCAAGTGCACACTTACCCTCCCCGCCTTCCACTTCTGCTGCTTGGGGTTCAAATCCCATCAAGGCAGACACTTGGATTGGGTTTTCGGTCCTTAACTGATTCCCTGGGTTTATATGTACCTGGGGGTTTTTCTTCCCACCTCTACGGCAGTACTGAACAAAATTGTCTACCTTCTCTAGGCCCTAGGGGGACCAGTTCACTGGTACCCTGGCTGAATAAAAAAAACTGGCCATATAAAAGGTGTATTTCATGGGTTAGCACAGAATTTTGGTGGACATGTATTTGTTGGGGGGACGTCCTGTAACAAAAGGGTCTATGCTCAAGGAGATATTAAAAATAACATTCTACACTTGAGCTCTGAGCATATACTGCTTTGAGGTTTATGTGTTAAGCAAAAATCAGCAGAGGACCAGTCACAGGCAATATAAACCTCACAGCGTTTTGGTAAGTGAGCCTTTCCCGCTAAGCGAGTATTTTCTGTGCTTTTTTCTTTGCTTAGCAACCTTAGGCCATGTCCGAATTACTTGGCTGCATCTTTAAATTATGCTTGGATCTGTGGCAGCAGCGGCAGCGGCTTCCCGTTATGCAGTGTGTAATTTCAAGCCACAGTTATGTAACTTAGACACGGCCCATGTCAGAGCTCAATGGAGATCCACTGCCACGGAAATCTGTGGTTAGCAGAAGCATGAAATTAGGTCCTGTGAAACCGCAGCCAAACTCCAGCATCATGGGCCGAAAATACACATGAAGAGAACGCTATCTTTGAGGGCAAGATAACAGGTACGGACAGGTACACGCATATCCTTGCAAAACACCATCAAGTGCACATACATGTACCTGGCTCTCTATGCATGGTTAATGCAGGTTTGACTGCAATGTTGTCAAATAAATAGTTTATATTATTATAAAGATGAACAAAGAAATTGACTGGAGCGGGATTTGAACCTGCGACCTCTGGAACACCATACCAGTACAATAAATAGTTTTTAAAGCACATCAGCCATGCTTCCACATTTTTAAATTTTCAAAAGAAACAAAAATTATTCCGGCTCTTTTCTACATTAATTCTGCCAATACATATTGAGCCATGAACACATGCTTGGCATGCTTATAGTGAGATTAATATAACCTCAAAAATATTTTCACATTAAAAGATTGAGAGTACATGTTCCATGCAAACTTGTACACGTAGCATGTTGCAAGTATGCGTCATTTTCAATTAACTTCTTCAATTTTCATTTACACAGCTAATTTTTTCACTTTACACCAAAGGAGAGAAATGACTTCAATTCACTCCAAATTATGCAGATAATTACAGCTTGTGAATTTGCTTTTTTTTATAGGCCGGTAATTTTTCGTGCCATGAAAAAATAACAGTAGTTTGAAGTGTCACTTTACATCCATATTTACCGGTGCATCAATAAGTTTTCACGTCTGGATATAATGAGTTTCACTTTCTTCAAATTTCAAGTTGACTGCAAATCAAACTGAAAGTTCTCACTCGATCTGGATTCGAGGAGTTGATCGCGCTCTGTCTTGTTCCCCTGGAAATGGACAATGATGTCGGCATCAAACTGCGTCCTCCGTACGTTGATGTCCAGCAGTTGAGGATTAGACCGACACTCCGCCAACCTGATTGATACCGAAAAATAATACCAGTAAAAATTCCAAACTGTAAGAATTCCACAGTTGCTTGTGAAATAGGTCTGGAAATTTTTTTAAAAATTTCCTTTTTTTTCCAATCAAATAATTATTTCTAAGTCAGCTTGTTTGCAAGCTGGGTTCTGCAAACGTTTCCCTTTTGTCATAAGCTTCATTTTGTTCTTTCATTTTCCCCTTGCAGCAACTGGTCACACGTCATTAATTTTCTGCCAGCACAAAAGGTCTAATTCCCTAGTTTAGATATTTTGTACTTTCATTAGTAAGGAAGGCCACGTTGGAATGTAGACGGGACAACTCCAATACGGGACAACTCCAATACGAAACGAGAAGTGGTTGTTTAAATTCAGGTAAACCCACATTTGTATTCAAACACATGGCGGGTGTTTCTATCTGCAAAATCCATTAAATAAACAATAATGGTTTTCAAAGCCCTCTTCCTGTAGTTAAGCCCTTGTGTGGGCAGTGCTGGAGGATTTCATGAAAGACGTTTTTACACATGGGCTGCTGAGAATTACAGCAATCATTACAGCATGGGCCAACTTTGATAAAAAAAAAGGAATTCACTTACTTTGAGAAGCTCTCATCAAGGTCAACATCCTCTCCGATATGCTGCAAAAAAAAATGATTAAAAAAAGAAATAATGAAAATCGTTGTTTGAGGTGCACAACTTCTTTGTAAATCACTGTGACACTATCTTGGTTGAATAGGGAAGATCAGGCATGGTCTAAATAGCCATCTTGTGCTCCTTATATTTACATGTACCTTACCGGTACATTGAGGAACCACACACGGGAAATAGACCTTATTCATAGGGAAGCCATTTTTGATCTTGTTCTCTGAATCTATCATGTTCAGTGTAATCTGTTATGGGGTTGTCCCGGACTATTTTGGGTTCCAAGCCTCACTTTCATTTTTTAAAGTGTGCATGGCTTGATACATTTAGACATGAATTATTACAAATTCTAAATTACTTTAAAAATAAACTGGCATGAATTTGTAATGAACTTGTATTTTGTTGGTGTTATTTTCACTCTCAGGCTCCCCAAATGAACATAAAACCTCACTTTCAATCCAAGATGGCCGACACATGAATGCAGTCTGTTTCTCAAGTGAAATAGTTTCAATGGCAATACTTGGGCTGCATCCAAATCTCTTGTCTAGAGCTAGGTCTAGGTCTTTGCTCCATTGGAAATGCGTGGAGACGCCCAGACAACAGACCTAGCCGTAGCTCTCGAAGCCCGTTTAAGACACACCCTTGTTTTCAGTTGCTACCAGTAGCTGATGGCTGGAAGCCGCCGGCCACAACCACAAATTTCAGCTATAGCCCTACACTCCCAGGAAGTACCTCATGACTTGGGCCCCTTTGTGGTAGCTTGCCCCTAAAACCAGCAATAGCAATACTACGGACATAGCTCATACAAGAGCAGGAAATGTCTTCTGAAATTGTGATGTCTACCATGTGCCACATGAATCATGACCTCCATGTATTCTAATTGATCAAGTTCTCTTGTGTACGACACATCACAGATCACAGAGGGCTTTTGTATGTATCTGTATATATTAAAATGAGCAACCCTTATGTCAGAGGCCACGAGCAATATATGAGCAATGATGGGCCGGTGGTTAAACTAGTCACTGACAAACATCCTACTCACCCAATTCTCAAGGAGTTTAGCGGTGGCGTCCATCTCCTTGGAATCCAGAGAGGAGTCAATGCCGCTGTCATGCTGGCCATTGCCATTCACCATGCAGGGGGAGAAGCGAGGCATGCCTGTGGGGCGACGAGGGGGGACCACTGGGACCGTGCAGGGTGCGGAGGCCGATATTGGGTCCATCTCTGCTTGCACCTTCAACACTGAAGGAGAAAGATATTCAAATAACAGTCAGCCTTGACCTCTGGCCATTTTTGGGAGGGAAACTTCCTCAATCTTCCAAAATTCTCCACTGTGTAAGTAACCAGTGTTTTTACCTTGTACTTCCATGTTTAAAGAAGCATCGAGTTCCATGTACAATTACGGTGAGTGGCTGAGCTCTGCCCTCCTCAATCCTACAAATTCCTCCAAAATCTACCAGTGGACTTTGATTTGAACCATGTGGGCGGGCTACAGAGATAGTGAGCTACAGGGTTTTGCCCTTGGTCTTCTATGGTAAGGCCATCGTTCAAATCAACTGGCTGTGGCTCACAATAACACACTTGTCAATGAGAAGTGGCCGCAGCCCCAAGCCAATGGCTTCCCAGCACACATAATCTTTATAACGACAGTCAGAACTTCCGGGTGTGGTCTTTGCCTGTAGTGTAAGACTTTGCCTTGCAACATGCTGGAAGAGGTCCAAGATTTGAGCCCAACCCAAGAACATCCATCTTTTCCACTGATGGTATTAAACCATCGTTTGCACAGTTTCACCACATAATGAAAATGTCAGATGGTTTCCTTGATGCATAAAAAGCCATACTGCATAGCAGCCATCCTACGCATAGCTCCCAAACAGGGTCGCACGTGCCATAGTGAGCTCTTCCCTGCACGCAGTTCCTTTGTCTTTTACTTGGGATAACAGATTAATCATATTTCTGTGATTCTACGATAATCTGAAGAGGCCCGGTGAAGATCTACAACTGGCTCACCTTTTCTCGTACTCGAAGGTGGAGGATCCAAGGAAGGTGGCAGGGCAGGTGAGGCACCCGACGACCAACACGCCTCATCCCTGCCATTGCTACTGGAGGTAGATTTGGAGCTGGGTATGCTTTGAGGGGCAGATTTCTGAAGCGGCGATGCTGTGGACAAATCACATGTTTGAAGTTAATGCCACTAAGAGAGTGCTGAATTCATCAGTGAAACTGTTCAAGGAACCACAATTGCCCTCGATGTTTAAATCTTTCCAAAGTCTTTCAACTGATTTCTTCATAAATTCCACCCGCATTTACCAAAAAACTAACTTTCTTTCGTTAATTCCCTTCTTAACAAAACCTGACAGGGGATTTCTATGTTCCTAATTTCTTCATTAATGGTTACCATCACAAGTTTAAAACACAATGTAAAGTCAACACAGCCCAGAAATATGTGCATGAATCTCTCGCTGGCTGCGCAATGAATGCATAGTAGTCTTAGTTTTGTTTATCTAATTTTTCATAAAGTAATTTCGTAAATCATACATGGTGGCGCATCCTTGCTGTCGTCTGACACAATGTCTTGCTCTTCTTTTTCACGTTCCCACAATTCAAAGGCGATGTTGAAAGCTTGAGCTACTGTGAGCGTCAACGCCTCAGCCTGCATATTGAAAAAAAAAAGGTTTTGATAATTACAATGGCTATGAAACAAGGGGTACATTCGCGCGGTTACTCCTGTTTACATGAATAGGGTGCATGTGCATTACACTTGGGTGCAGGAGTATACTCCGCCTCTAGTGAGAGTATACTCTTGCTGACCCTCGGGTAGTACTCAAGCCGTTCGAGCACTCAGGAGTATACTCGTGTTAACACGAGAAACTCGTTCGAACGCACCCAAGAACAAACAAGTGCTGTGCTAAACAAAAATTCAAATACCTTTCCCTGTAGAGAAATTCTTATTCATACAGACAAGTTAGCCGTTCCTACTGGTCGAAAGCCCCTCATGTGGCCAGTCATAAACAGTGCACGCCGCATGCGCCAATCTCCATATAACGAGATTATGACCACTCGTGAGAGGAGCATGTATACATGCACCATAACATGAACTAGAGGGATGTTTGAAAATATGAAGTAAAATTGTTCAACAAAATCGTTGCAAATTTATATCTCTTTTTAGACCGTGACTCAAAAAATAAATGGCCTTGGCTTGGACATTATCAGCGTCCAATCTCCTGACCATTTTAAAACCTGACTCTAAAGCAATGTTTAGATCACCCAGGACATGTTTATTCCCTTTAAAAAAATTCTTTAAATCCTTGAAGGGTTTGAAATTCTTGCTCAGGCTAATTAAGTTTCCAATACCTTCAGGATTCAATGGAGATGCTATCAAAGTTCCAAATGATTGATCACGGTAATCCCAGGCACGTTCATAACTGCGAGATAACTTACAATCTTCCTCTTGGAGCAGAGGTAGGCATGGCACTCCAGCGCTTCGGTGATGCTGTTGTTGGCGATGAACGCAAAGACCTTATTATCGCTGGTTTTGTCGGCTGCACAGTAGGATATCCTGCCGGGGCAGGGGGCGGGGGAAAAGAGATGTGTAGGAGTTCCAATAAATTTTAATCTGAAATTTTACTGCTGTTTGCGGTTGGGATGACTACCAGCACAAAATCTCCCAGAGGGTGGGGGGGAGGTATTCACCTGACACAGTTTGGCAGCCGCCAGAAGGCAGCATGCACCTTGTACGTACACAATAAGCCTACATGAACTTGGCTTCTAACAACTAAATGCACTGTATAATTATACATAAATGTGCACCATTACACAGTGCAAATGATGTTAGTGGTTCTTGTTAGCGGAGAGCTTTTCAATTTAGTTAAATCCCCCCCCACCCTGCCCATTTTTCTGACTTATGTCTCTTTAAACACCAACACACAAATCATTTACAAAATTAAGTGAAATTGTACAAAATTATGTTAGCAGCATTCATTTTCTGGGGGCCAAAAAAACCAACGGGAATGTTTCACTTTTGATTTCCTGTTTAATGAGTGATATTTCAACCTAAATTATTTTCACAGCATGCCGGTTTTCAAAAATTCCTCCTTTTTGCAGGTACATTTATAACATCCTGAACCATGAATCTCAGTTCCAAAAAGGAAATACTTTTCCGGAAATTCAAAAATGCTACATTTCACGTACATTCCGTCAGAAATTAACCAGCAAAAAAAGGAACGTACATTGTAATTGTTAGAATTGCTGAGGACAATTTTTTACTTAAAAATTCAACTGACCATCTTCATCAGCCGGGGCCAATTTCATAGAGGTGCTTAAACACAGAATTTGCTTCTAAGCACAAAAAAAACCTTGCTTAATAAACAAAGGTTACCAGCTCAAACTCTATGTGATTGTCATGCTAACCAAAAGACAGGTAAACACCATGAAAACAATATACACATCACAAGAAGTTCTGGTCGGTAACCTGATTTGTCAAGCAAGGTTTTTTCACGCTTAAACAAATTTTTCGCTTAAGCGGCGCAATGAAATTGGCCCCAGGAAGATTAAGCACAAAAAGTTTCAAGGTTGGAGTCATGACAAGATGAAATTTCATCTCCGACGGGATCAAAGATACATTGTATTTTGCAGCCCTGCTACAAGTTCCTGTATGGTTCTTTCATGTATGTGCTTCATTCTGTGAAATGGTCACTCGGCATACTGGCGCAAGTCTAGGGTGAACTTATAAAAAGCAGGTCATGTTTTGACTGGGAAAGCAATTCAATGCTATAACCGAGGAGAGCTAGCCTCAGCTCATCTGGGTACATGTACGTGTACATGTACATCCATTCTCTTTTCAAAGGTTATGAATGTGGTGTTCTCTCATGCATGTCCCCAAAGTACCTACAGCCATTTAATTTAAACCGAGAGTACATTTGTCTACGCATTACCGGTAGTTAAAAGTAGTAGCACTGTACATGCAAATTCATCACGCTTGGTCTGGCTTGTTTTTTTTTTTTTTAGACTGAACAGAATTTTCTGTTATGCACAACCACAGGGGGCACAAGGAAATGTCCTACATGTATGATCAAAACAGACAGCTCACTGGAACTGCACTACACTTGCTTTCCCAGCAATTTACAGTACATGTACATCAAGACCTTTGTACGGACCAATTACGTCAAGGTCTTTTGACACCTGTGCTCATGAATATGCAACGACCTTGAGCAAATGGGGAAAAAGCAGCCTTGAGTCCAGCTTCCAGCCTCCCCCCCTCCCATTGCCTGCATTCGTACATGTACATGCTACAATGTATACATGCCATTGATGCACCCTCTGGCATCCCTGCATAAATGATTGGCTGGTTGGATGTCATTCATAATAAACGGGGCCCGTGTGCGGGCTGTGTTGTAGTGTTGGATGTGAGTGTACACGTACGTACGTGTGTACATCATGTACATGTATTTTCCTTTAGCCGGGGTCATGCAGCGGTCAATCAGTCGGGGTGATACAGTGCGTACACATCTACTACTACGTACACGTCTACAACTACGTCACTACTTTTGCCTTCTATTAAGACAGCATCTGTCTGCATACCAGTCTGGTAATGATGATCAATGAAGGGCACATCTGGGACAGAGCAGAGCACTGACCATTGGAGATGTCTCCCCTTAAGTCAACACTTGCACATGTACATGTATTTACAATACAAATGCCCCAACTTATTCATTTAAAAATAAATACATATATAAATACATATACACATGTACATTGGGTTGAGGAAAAACCTGTAATTAATAAAAAAAATTACCCTTTGCTATCTGAATGGAAAATACCTGGCCATGCACAAAAGGAAGCATATCAAATTTAGTTTATGAAGCTGAAAACATTTCGAGGCATTTAACTTGGCATTCATTACACATTATATGCATGTACTGGTACATGCTCTGGACGATTTATTTTTCTCTCTCAAATACCTCTGGATATTGCTGAGCATACATGTACTCTGGAGTCAAATACTAGCAAAAAAAAAAGCCAGAAAATGTTTGATTTCTCCGTCCTCTCAAAGGTCCGGACAGATTTGTGATAGCAGCACAGTCATAACTTTGTACATATATGCCAGTACTTGAGATATCTTTGTTTTTGTTAGCAATACCAGATGTCAGTTTTACATGTACATGAAAAAACTGATTAAAAGTACAAACAACCTCTGAGGCAATCCTCCTACCATGTAATTTATACCTGTGAGTGGGTGGATTGAAAATAAAATCTACCACGCTTCAATTCACTCCAACTGTCCGGCTGGTTGCAAGATAACGACCATGAACATGTACAAAAAATGGACAATATGATAATTTCGTACAGAAACCTTTGCATCCAGCTATACACAACAACAAAACCTGTATTTATTTTAAACCAAACAAAGCAAAAGAGATCCCCGAAAATTTGTAAAATGATGGGGTTATTTTTGGCACATTACCTGTGTCTTATTTTTTCTGTTCCTGTGTAAAATGCCTTGCTACATGTAAATATAAAACAATCGCTGTTCCTAAGCCAACTTTGAAACTGACGTAAAATTTATATATAGAAGAGAAGAGGCCATTCTAACAGAACAAGGAAAAACAGAATCAGGTAAATGAAATCATGCTCGGTTCCAGGACACTTGGAAGAGAGAACTTCTTGCCAATGAAAAGTGTCATGCTCCCAATGTGATGAGACGGGGGTGGAGACAGGTGTGGGAGCTAGGGGCTGGTGTGGTTACCGTACCTGTGTATCGAAACCTCTTGGACATCCTCTGGCCTCTCGAGGTTTGTCTGAATGATAGCCTTTGGCGTCACTGTCAGGGAAACCTTCTTGAACAAAAGTTTACTGTGGTACTTTGCCTGGAAGAAAACCCCACCAAAAAGAAAAATGGACTTCGTAACTTACATGTACATTACATATAATAGTAACAATAATAATACATTTTCAAGATGTATTTTTGCGTTGGGGAGATGTTAATTATATATAACGGTTTGCCCGTACCCAACGTATACAGTGCTTATTAATATACGTTGGGTACGGGCAAACCGTTATATATAATAATAATACAGTTTTATATAGCGCATTTATCCGGAAAAACCGATCAAGGCGCAATTCCATTATTATTACCCCTGCTCACTGGGCCCATGAAACATTCCAAATACCATCTCAGTTCCCTGGGGAGTAAACAGCTCATATACAATTCATTGTGGAGTTTTCTCTGCATATCAACCACAAACTGTCAATTTTGCAAACTGCTGTATGCAAGAAAATGCAGCATTGAGCAGACCTTCTCTGATTCAATTTTTTCCAAATGACCTCTGACCTGTACAGAATACTGTACATGTACCGGTAGCAGTTGGATCCAGCTGGAATAGAGTGGGACTCACAATCAGAATTTTTGTCAAGCTCAGCAGTTTTTGGAAGACCTCCGATGAGCTGGTCAGCAGCTTTGCAAAATATTTTACATGGAATGGGGGGGGGATCAGGGGAGGTGAACGACCCAGCTTACTTGTTATATACACGTACCTGAATGTCAATTCAAAGAAACAATACGCATTGTATCCAAGCAAACACAGCAAAGAGATGGTACCAGGATATAGCTTACATGTAACTAGGCTCTTTTACTAGGAAGCATACTGACCCCAACAAACTTCAACAGGCACTTGTACATGTACATGTACTTGTACATGCAGGTCACTGTACCAAACCTGTTGAACTCCAATAAACTGACTCGTTTGAGTTTGAGTGATATGGTATGGATGGGTCTATGCAGTATAGGATGACTTGCACTAAAGCAGTACCAATCCTGACAAAATCAAGTATGGTTCAACCCTTGGTACAGCAAGCCAGACAGCAGACCCTGCAAATCGACTCCTGCGTGTCCCAACAATCCAACACCATCACCCTGGGCCAGATTGACACCACGTCCGACAAAGTTCAACAAGAAGTTCATCGATTTTTGTACCAAACCTGACAAAACCCACATGTAGCGAAACCTGCTGTTGGAGTTTGATGGCTACTTGGCAGTTAGTTAAACCTATTTTTCCTATTCACTTTGCAGGTCATCAGCACTAGCCATGGATATAATTTTGGACACTGCTCTCCTTGAAGCCACCGGCGGGCAGTTGCTGCATCTTTCCATAAAGACACACACACTACACTCAAAAGAGACGGCAAAGTCAGTGCCGAGACTGCCCAATTATCACCCCACATACACCCCTACACAAGCTTTTATTCCGTGAAAACTGGATTTCTTTTCACTACCTCATTTCCTGAAGTCGTTCCCTCCAACCCTGTAAAATTCCTCTGTTTCCTCCAAACAATGAAATCCTGACAAATGTGGTAACCCCATTCATGTAGCTCCACAAACCTTCAGGGATGGGGATTCAACTAGAACTCAGCTTTATTCACGTAACCCTCCATACACCCATAAATTAATAGCCATATACATAGGAATGTGGGTACGGGGTGGGGCGCATACTTCCAGTCTCCTTTTCTGACCTTTAAGTTTCATTTTAAAGGTCACTTTGTCACACTCCAATAAAAGAAAAAACACAATCTGTGATAAAAATTGACATTTCCACGTTTTACAGCTCACTTGCCTACTAAGCGGAGGCACATGTAGACAACCATGATAAGATTTCCAGAGAAAAAAAGTGCACTTACGTTGTGTATGATTCGCTTCACAGCTTCGGCAGTGTGGGTTTCATCATTGGAGAGGCTGACCAGACACATGCCCAGGTATTTGGCGTAGAAGGTGACCCCTTCCAAGACTGGCTCCTTGGACCTCTCCCAGTCATCTTGGAACTCTGAAGTTCAGAACCGAGAGAAACAGAGAGAGACAAAGTGAAGAAAACTTCCTCATTCTGAGCCGAATAATTACCAGTACATGTACCCGGATCAATTGGCAACCATCCATGAAAAATGGATGTTTTCGATACACGGTAGTTTCTTCTGTTTGTTTTCAGAACAGAAACAAGGAAATCTGTCCACAGTAATAACCTTGGTTGATTCAGGCGCATTTAGTTTATTACAGGTTATGCGGCTCATGTAGGCCTATACAAGTAAAAATTTAGCGGAAATAACAAGATGGCAATGACTCCAGATTGCCATGAAATATGAACAGACATCTTTCTTGAACAGAATCTATTGTGAAAACACAAAAAATAAAGAACATTTTGCTACGGCGGAAAATGCCTTGGCAGAAACTAATGCTACATGCCACCAATCACGACAAAAAGCAACATTTTTCCCATGTACACTTCATAAAGGAAGTCCATTCACGCGTTAAACATTGCCCTTTCACACTCTCTTTTTTGGCTGTTTGCCCGTGTCCTCCTATCTCCCTGCCTGGGAAATTGCTGTGGCAATGCCTCCAGTCTGTGCAGCGGCACACAATAGCAGACTTGTACCTTTCCATTGTGCCTCTCGCCTCCGATGAAAGAAACTCCTCAGCATTATTTCTCACAAAAGCTTGTCTGTCTTGCAATACTTTCAATTTAGAAAAGTGTCGCACTACAGTGACTTATACAAAGTCCCCCCCCCCAGGACGGTCAACTTCAGCCGACGTAACTAAAGTTACAAGCCTTTTTTTATCGCAAATGAAAAAAATGCTTCAGTGTCTTTTTTTCCCCCGTAGTCCTGCCAAACGTTCCAAATGGAGACAATCTGGCATGGTGTGATTCGGTGTCACTCTTCTTTTATATGCACAAGTTCATCACCTGTGACTAAAAACCAGAAGTCACACACCCAAACTGTATACGTGTGTATTTAATTCCATGCTCAAAGCAAACAATGTGCTTTTTATTTGGTACATGTATCCATTTACCATTAACCAGGAATACAAATAAGGATGATGCATCAAACTTTGGGGGAAGTAGTGTTAACTACCGGTACTAATCACGTACCCTTAGATCTACACTCCTAGTACAATTTGGTATGGGTGACATCCTTGCATTAACTAACATGAGTCATCATGCCCCGTGTTATAAAACAAGGACTGATTCAGTGAGTCTGTAGTACACAGAAGTTGGGTTGGTTTGCTCAGAAAGGTAAGCCATGGTAACCACCAGGTGCAATATAGAGCTGACAAACGATCCCACTTCCACATCAGGAAATTGCATCTGATGTCACAAGTGTAACAGAGCACGCACGTAACAAAGTGGAAAGAAACAGGGGTGAGATTGACCAATGATAAAAACAGCTGAAAACAGCTGAAAAAGGCATAAAGAAGCTGAACTGTGAAAATCTCCTGTACTTTTGTACACAGCCAGTGAGGAAAACAAGCTGAAATCCCAAACAAAAAAGCTGAAATCAGCTGAAAAGCTGAGAAATCTCACCCCTGAAAGATAAACTGGAGGTGCAAACAAGTCCAACAAACTGGTCTCTCTCTCTCCTTTCAAGTTTCATTCATTGCAAGCACTGATTATCAGACAAACTTTCTGGAAGACATTTTCCAGACAGAAGGGTACTTAATACATGTACTTGCATGTCTCCCTGTACATGTTTTAATATTCACTGGCCAGAAACATGCGTGTCATTGGTGTTTCTTGTAAGTTCATGTCAAGTTTTAACACTCACTGGTTTTAAAGTGTTCTTTATTTGAAGCGTTGAAATCAGCTAGCAGTCTAGCCATGGGTTCTCACCGTGGGGATGCCAGTGGGGAGAGCTGGATATCACGGGGGGGGGGGGGAGATGGAGGGGTGCAAGTCCCAGTATTTTCTTAATAACTATAACTTTCTTTGTTTCCCAATTTCCCATGGGGAGCAACTGGGGACAACATAGGGCATGCACTCCCCCCTCCCCCAAGCCTCCCCTTGGGTATGTCACTGAAATCAGCAGAACAAGTCATCCAATGCAGGACCTTCTTGCTAGTAACTTTGTTTGAGCTCGCAAAGAACAATGTGGTACAGTGTATGTGTGGGTAGGCATACGCTGCGTTCAAGGGACAAGTTCTTTGGGAGGGAAATTTGAGCCGAGTTGTGGAGACATTTCTGAGTCCCCACAACATTTTCGGTCCCCACAAAATAGGCGAAATGTCGAGTGTATGTCCCCACGAGTACAGTGTTTCAAAATATGGTGCCTTGTGGAGACCCAGAAGAAGGGGTTGGATAGGTCTCCACAAGGAATTTTTAAAGGTGTATAGGTCTCCACAAGGAATTTCTAATAGGTCTCCACAAGGAATTTCTAAAGGTGTATAGGTCTCCACAAGGAATTTCTAAAGGTGTATAGGTCTCCACAAGGAATTTCTAAAGGTGTATAGGTCTCCACAAGGAATTTCTAAAGGTGTATAGGTCTCCACAAGGAATTTCTAAAGGTGTATAGGTCTCCACGAGGATTTCACAAAAATGATATTTGGAAATTGCTCAAAAAGGATTAATTTTTAATGTGTAAGAATCTGTTGCAAATTGAAGTGTTTCAATTGACTATTGAGGGACATTCGGTCGAAAATTCAGTCCAGGAGAGTGATTCATGTTGAAATGGGAGCAGTTTTGAAAACATCGTTTCACACGCGGCTGAATTAGCACAAGAGAACAAAGCCATGTCTCCACAAGGATACAAATTTCGGTATCTTTGTGGGAGTGTGCGTACACACACTGCTATACTTAACAAATTGAATGTGTCTTGAAAGAATCTCAAAAATCAGTACACCAGTGTAACTTGATGCTCAAGTGACGCCCACTGGTTTGCCTGTATCATCAACAGTGTGTACTGAGCTGACCTTCTGTTACACCACGGAGCTATTAAAAAGGCCATCCTCACAGACAGTGCTTTCTTTTCATGAGCCTACCCAGTGTCCAACTGCATTCTTCCCATATCTGACATAGTTGTGGTCACCCGCCTTCTTTTGAGATGAGGGATGAGCCAGGACCCCTCTAAAGCTAACCCATCACTTGGAACTCATAGTCAAGGAGGGCTGCTCAGAGTCTGATAAACCCCACGGAGAATTCAACTCGAGTTGAAGAACTGTCTGTATTGTGAAATTTTACATGCCACAGGATGGCTAGGGTGACTGCAAAGGGTACTATGCAAAGTTTTTAGTATGGGTGGATAGACTTCGTACAATCTTTTTTGAATCTGAAATACATATAGATCAGTGTATGATCATACATCATAAAATCCACATCCATATCAGTAATGGCTTCATAACAACACTGATTAACTGAAGTTGTAACGTCACAGACCGCTTCCTGTGGTTATAAAGAAAACAAGTCCACGGCACAGCTGGCAGTACAGCTGCACCAGTAAAGAAAAAAAACCAAATATTGATTTGTCTCAAAAAGGAAACAAAGGGGTCAATAATCCCCCGGCTTGGACTTGTGGCTAACCACAAGAAGAAAAATGTAGGGAGAAGCAGAGAGGGCTGGCGAACAAAGAGGTTGGAGCACTTTGATAGGATGCAGGCAAGAAATTTACTGGCTGGTTTGGCTATGGCGGGAAGGGGGGGGATGCCTCCCAGTGCAACATCTAGTAAAAACAAAGACAGTGGAATATTTTGTGTAGGATCACAAAAATTCCCCGTTCACGTTTAGTTGAAACTATGAAGAACTTTATCCAACATTCTCAAAATGAAAAATATTTTTGAGAATGAATCACATACATTAAGTTCTTCTGAAGCTTAATATAATATTCTAAATTCAATTTTAGATGATGGTGCAGGCTGCTGCTGGTTATCTTTCTGTGCATGGGCTGACAAATAAACTTTACCTGCTGTTAGAAGTGCATCACTAGAGGAGTAATCTTCAACGCTCATGGCCGTTTTCAACACAACTTGCCTTAACAAGTAAAGTACTGAGCTAAGCTTCAATGGCGTCTTCCAAAATAAGATCAAAAGAAGTCCAGGGAATGAGTCAAATGTGCAGATGTGGCATGAGGGGAACGTGAAGAATCTTGATGAGCTCTAGTCTAAACAAGAGACGAAGGCCAAGTTTGTCAGGGTGTTTGATGGAGGTTATGCTCAGCTCTGCTGGTAAGTTTGTCACGAGGACTTTCTTACTGCCAAAGATGGGCAACCAAAACTACATGTATTCGTACACGATGCAACTCGATGATCAGGAACTTGTTGAGTTGTCTGAAACAGGACATCTCAGGATCTCTGAGTAATATGGAAGCAGCCAGTGCCAGTAGGGAAGGGGCGACAACTCATTGTTTTAATGAGATATTTCCCCCCCTGTCTGGTTAGGGTATTAAGACTGGGGAAATCTGTCACGGTCACTTGAGGTCACAAGGTCAAGGAATGTAGGTCCCAGTTTGAGTCATGCCTCGACCCCTACACCTGCCCCCTGGATGTAAGCAGAACACATGTGCACCAACATGTGCCAGTACAACTTGACAAATGGTCCCTTCGTCAAAACAAACACATCAAAACTGGTGCCAAGTGCACTTTCCCTGACAGCACAAAGCCGGTCTACGTATAATCCCACGTGGTCTTGAAACTGCATCACTCTTGGGCCGTTTTCCCGATACTCGACTTGGGCTCCGTCTCAGGCTTCGTTCCCAAATCCAATCCCCGATCGTGGGCCTGAAGCATTTGAATTATTACATTGGATTGCTGTAATTTCTGGCTTTCTTGCATCTTATTTGATGTTCTGTGGCACTATCAAACTAATTACTGCGCTTACAGCTTCAATGTCAGCTAGTTAAAAACAGTTGAAGCCTGAGACGGAGCCGAAGTTGAGTATTGGAAAACGGCCTTGATTCACTGTTTCATCATTTACCTGTGTTTGCTGTTCCACGCTATGTTAACTCCAAACTGCATGTGGACAAATGGCACCAAGCCAATTTAAGAAAACTCAAATCTTACAGTATGCTAGCATCATGTCGTCTCCACCAACCTTCACCCCGTTTTACTTCATGCAAGCATTTTGATCGTTCTTGAAGGTACTTAACAAATTCCATCTTTACTCATTACAAATTATGCATACGATAACCGGTACTTGATCACTTTATAATGTGACAACACAAGGACAGTGTATGTATGTCATACAAGATGTTGGATAACCAACAGCAGGGGTGGTTTTTGCTCAGTTTTGGTCACTTCAGTGCCAACTGGGCCCTCTCCAAAGTGTCAAGTTTTTTCTTCTACTTCATCTTGAGCTCAAGAGTCAGTTTCATTTGACATATTTACTCTTAAAACCAAGCCAATATGCTCCAAACTTGGAGTTACATTACATGTACAGTACATGTACGTTGGGCAACTTTGAGGTCGCTGGAGACTGAGGTGAAACTAAGATTTTTGGGGAAAAATCCTAATGCATGTCAAGACGGTCTTTCCATTTTGCCCACAACTTTAACAACATGTTGCACATTTTGTCCTTTTCAACCCTCTGATCCCTCACCATTCACTATGGCATCACATGACTTGGTTGGGACCATCACGTGACTTGGTTGGGACCATCACGTGACTTGGTTGGGACCATCGCATGACTTGGTTGGGACCATTTTTAAAGTTTATTTTTGGGATCTCGACAAGAGCATGTTTTGAAAGAACATGCAGTGAACTTAAGAACAGTTGAGAGAAAAAAGTTTGGTTTTTGGGGGGGGGTGGAAACATATACAGTATCTTTTACCACACAGTCAGGTTCCAAAGGAAGCATGTTACAACACAGAAAGCGCTTTCCCACTCAAAATGTTACCCATGCAGTGTACCCCATGCTACATGTATGTTTCCGTGTCACACTCTGTGAAATTAAAAAAATCTAAATGTTGTTTCCAGGAACAACTGAATAGTTATACAGATGCAAGCACTTTTATCATCTGGAAATTGTCTCGACATTAGCAGTGAAAGTTTTGGGTGATAAAAATGAACAAACAAAATCGGTACTAGGAACTCCACCTTTCTTTTCAACAAGGAATCAAATGGGGTAGGCTCTACAAGTGTACACCAATTTCACAGCTCTATGTTCCCCAAGTTTCTAGATGACCAAGTCACATCAACGCACATTTTTATTTTGAGCTGTTTTAAGTTGGTGACTTCCCCTCTGTATTACGGAGAGATTTTGTTGGAATACTGAATTTTAATTTAAGATTTTAATTTATTCAAATGCAGCACTACTGATGTCATTGTTGAGGAGAATCAATTATGTTAATAGGAAGGAACAGTTCTACAAATTTTGTATGTTTGTTGGGATGTTTGAGTATCTGTTTGTATCAGGTTTAGGTGAGACCTTCAGGAGCCGCTATGCAGGTTAGATTGGCCCCCTCTACATGATCCACGAATGATAGAATTACAGATAGGGGTAGGTTAAGTATGAGCGCCAGAGCAATGATTGTTGGACTGGTGCCAGCCAGACAGCTTACATTATTTAGTAAGAGCTTGTATTGCATCTTGGAACCAGTCCAAAAAGACCCACACGGAGCAGCTTTGTGTCCCATATCAGCCAGCATTAGAGCTCCATTATATGCAGTCACATTCATCATGTAATCATACACTTGCACAGCGGTGGATTCTAACTTTTCAACAAAAGAGATTTCTGTCATTGTGAGTAGTCACTGTGTTTACCTATTGGTCAAGTGAGCAACAAATGAAATTGCTTTGGGTAAACTTGCATGAGGTTCTTAATCCATGATCAATATCATTTTCTTCAATTAAATCATAAAAAAATTCTGACAAAGCAGAATTGACAAAAACAAAATCTACATACCTGTAAACTACAAATAAAAATGACTTCAAATTAGAATAGAAACATGTAAAAAACAGAAACAGGAAAGAAAGAGAAAGCAATTTATTTATTTATTTATTTGTTTATTTATTTTTTGCTCGGCCTGACATGTAAATGTTAGCAAATTTAAAAGATCTGAATTTCAAGAAGAAACTCTCCACTGAAATTGGATGATTATGCTGGTACAAACTACCTATCCCTTCTGCAGACCACAAAAATGCCTATTAGAATAATTGTGGACAGCAGTTGTACAGTTTCAACCACTGAGGTGATTCAGCTCTGTGCAATCCTTTATTCCCCTATGTGGTGATGGTAATGTTAATGTTGTGGTCAGTGAGGAGGCCGTTTACAGGCTGTAGTCAATTGGTGGATCAAGTGGGAACGGGCTGAATGAATAACAGTCAGAGGCTGCTGAATGGGAGGCTATGGCCCACTGGCTCCTAAGTGATGCCGCCCAGACTCCTCGCATAATCATGTGGTTTTGCCCACATGGCCATCACTGTTTCCTCCTATTCTTTGTGCCCACAATTCACCTGCTGCTCCCTTGTGCGCAGTTTTCAAAGAAATAACATAATTATCTACGATATCAAACAACGGGAAAACATGTGCCTGCACAGTCTTCACACACAAGGCTTGAAGGAATTTATGGGACAACTGAAATGAAGTCTGTTTTATTGTACATGTAGTCATTCTTGTCTTTTTCAAACCAAGTCTAAAAGCGGTCTTATGCCAATATATAAATTAAATTGAGGTACGTATAACATGCACATTGTAAATGAACGTTTTCAACTAGGGTTTGAATTTTCATATTGAGAATTTAACCAGTTTGAACAAGACAACATATGCATACACATGTACATTTATCTATGGTCATTAGACATCTACAAGTACACAAAAAGCACAGTCCAAAACTAAGCAAGTGGAAATATTCAGGATTAGATGATATGTCCAGTTACCAGTAGGTTAAAATACATGTAAATGAACACTTCAAATGTAGTCCAGAAGTTTGCATCAAAGTCATGGCAATTTATTATTGAAACAGTTCTCATTACACAAATCCCAATAATTTCTCAAAGTTGCAGAACCATATTGACACGATTGTCAGGTTCTTCTGTGAGTAACTTGTGAAAACAAAAGAAATTAGCGATGTTTTAAAACCTCATTGCATTTAGTTGTACCATGGGGGCAGCTCCGTGGTTATATCCTCTTTCACTTGCATAACACATGGAATGCCATTTTGGAAACTTAATTTTTTTTAGAGTTCTTCAGCTTATATTTTAACAAGAGTAGTGACATGAAATTATAATCATCCCTGTACTTATTATGAAGGAAATCAAATTTTCTTTCAATAAAAGCTGCAGGCTGGGACTTATAAGAATAAGAGTCCCTTTTTAAGAAAAAAAAAATCCCCAAATTGCTTATTTGTGGCTGGAATGAATCCCAGATCAGATCCTGTGCTGTGTGAAGAGGCGAATCCAATAATTCATGTTGAATCATTGATACATGTAGTTTGTAAAATACAGGTTACAAAGGGAAAATCTTGTAAAAAATAAACGAAGTGTTTACTTGTAACTCATAAAACTGAAAACTATATCAAGAGTCAGAATGCGCGGAACTGCAGTCACTGTGACTTTGCTATATTCCAAATAAAAAAACCTGAAATGCTTCCTCGTAAGCTAGTAAGTTCGACATTTTCGATGACAGGCTGATTGTTACGCCCTGACCATGCCGGCACGGGTACGAAGAAACGTGTGACAAAATCGCTGGCCTTTCAGGCAGCGACAGAAAAAAAACAATTAGGTCCGAACTATTTGTTCCAACATGGTATTTGATTTTAATCATTCCATAGCTGTTACTATTACTACTACTAGAGTACTGGGCCTGCTAGGCCTACTTTTTTAACATTATCAAAATATTATGTGCGATGGAAACTTTCATCATTAAGATTAAGAACGCCACTAACGCTGTGTCATACCATGGAGGTAGGAATGAACAGAGTACACGTACACGATCTAGTCGACCACATATGCCGGCATTGCATTATTTTTGCCACGTGAGAAAAAAAAGCCGGTTCCGGTTGGCAAGCCGGTTGCTGTGTACATGTACAAGTGATGCCCCATAATACACTGTAGAGTACAGACTACAGTACATATACAGTACATGTATGTGCATCAACGCAACGAACTCACACACGTCCATGATGTATCAAAACACAAACCAAAACAATGGATTCAAACGTTCGTTTTTCTTCTAATACACATTAACCGTTTCCAAGTTCTAACCAAATGTTATCCACAATGTACTTACTTCGATGTCTGCCCTTTCCAAAGCGATTTTTCATCATTTTATGCTGCGGATTTGATGTGAATTGGCAACGTGGACAGGCAGAAAAAATTGTCGACGATGTCTTGTAGTAAAAATTGTGCGTGCGTAATGCGTAATGCGACGGAGGAATGTCTGCCTTTAATATGTAAATTTCATTCACTGGTTGTTACCATATATGGGTGTGGGGGCGGGACTGTTTGCAACGGCCAACTAAAAGCGCGCCTTTTTTCACTGGTACTGCCGCCGCGGTCGACCGCCGCCTGAGCAGCACGTACGTAGTCTGATGATATGTACATTATCATCATCCATTCATATTTGCGTAAATTTCTGTGCATGCGCGTGCATCTGCAGTATAATTTTTATCGACTTTAATTATAATATTTCTTCAAAGAACGGCAAGAGTTTAAACATTTTGCAGAAGAGCCAGAAAAAGACAAACAATGAAGAAACTAATTATTTTTACAAAATTCAAGCCCAATCCTATTCCTAGCCCTCTTGCCAGGGTTTGAATAGGGCCTAGGGGAGCGATAAGACAATGGTTTACCTATGGCCTATTTAATTTTTTTCTATTACATCACATGAGGAGGGTAAAAGGACAAACAAAATGGGAGAAAGCAGAGGACATTTTGAGCAAATGACTTAAACTTGTAATTCGGAAATTGAAAAGTTGTTCCCCTTATTACAAAATCTTAATGTTTTTTCTTCGAAGAGACACCGTACCCAGACTCCGGTTTGCTGTGTGCTGTCACGTCCACTAACCTGTACTGGGTTTACGATAGTCATTCGAATTAGCGCCCTCTACAACCTCAAATTTGGACTAATTTGCAACAATGGCGAACACCATCTATTATTTGTCGGTTGGTTTGGGCATAGTGTTCTTCGCTTTTGGCGTTACCAAAGTCGTGCCCATACAGCCTGCGTATAGCACCCAGGTGAGGAACTTATCAGCTATCAAAACAACAATTTGTGGACACTTTGAAGTATAGAAATTGGTTGGAGCATTCCTCCATGGTTGGTGTTACCAGTGGTGTGACATGTAATATATTTTTAGAGCCGTAGAGGGCGCCCGTCCATATGTGTTTTTTTCCGGATTATTCAAAATTATCTGAACTGAGCTGTAGCAACAGCATCCTTTATTTATGATTACCATGAGTCTGATTGATTATGGAATTCCAACCTCCATGATTGAATAATGTTTCAGAACAATGTTGCAACGGTAGGCCTATATCAGTAATTTCAGCCTACATGTTACACCAGGCTGTATTACTATTAAAGGTGTTGCCAATACTAGTCCATTAATTGGAATCTAGATTCTAGACCTATGGGGTGTGTCCTTCCTCCATGGTTTGTCATAGTTCGAGAGGTATACTATAACAATTTAATGTACATCACATCATTTTAGTCGGAATTCTTTTACATGATGCAGACTCTAGAAGAAGCTGAGACCATCAAATCAACAAGAAGAAGATGAGACCGGGAACTACACCTTCATGAAAATTTGTGTTGATCAACACTGTAATCCTAAACTTCTGCTGCATTTCAATTTTTTTGGCACACAGGTGTCCAGTTTCAACAGGTTCGTCTTGGTGTTCCCATTCCAGTCTTTCACGGGTTACAAGCCGACAGCCGAACTGTACCGCACGGTCGTCGGTGTCATCGAGATCACATTCGGCGCTCTCCTGGCGTTCGGGAACTATCACTGGCATCGCAGCAGCTCACTGGTACTGCTGTGCCTAATGATCGGTGCCCTGTACACCATCCTGGCCTTAGGGGACCCCGTACAGAATATCGTGCCATCAGTTGTCGTCGGGGCGCTCCTGATCCTTCTTATCAATCGCGAGGGCCACTATCGCCTCTAAACGTGGATCGAGCAGAGGCCACGTCATCATGAAGACCAGGGAAGAAAACGCATGGGACCTCTTTGGCGTCACTTGTGAATCTAGCGCTAATCGTGTGTTAGTTATTTCTAACATCCGTAGACTAATTCAGAATGTTTTGATACAATAATAGACTGGTATTTCCTGATTTTTTATTCATATTTAGATTTCAATTGCTGTCATCTAGTGTTTATCGCCGTTCATCACTGGACACTGAAGTGCCATCATAGTTATCAAAGTCACAGGGCAGCTGATGACAATTGGAGCCATGGGCTGTTGGAGCAATAATCTATTGATTACGCTACCCATTCATCCTCAATTTTGGGGACACCTTTACACTCTCCCTCTTCATTTTGTTCACTGCCAGTCACGAATGTGCGCTGTAGTTCATGTACATTCCTCTATAGCGTCTTAAAATAACGAGCTTGACTTTGCAGCTTTACTAAATCTCACGAGATATTTTTGGACCGATAAGAATTTTGTACTGATTTAGTTATGTATATTTTTGTAGCTCATTTTCACTTCCTTTCAAGGTATTTGCGGTGGCAGTGGTACTAAGTCGGAGTCAATGTGTATGCATTTTACTAACAAAAGTAAAAAAAAACTTGGCTGACAAGAGAAATCCAGGTTGAAAACACATGGTCATGTGGAGAGATAGCATTGAACAATTTTGATCTTATTTTAAAGGGAGATATGCTCTGAATTTATGCTCTGTACTTTGTTTTTAGTCATTATAATTCTCACAAATATTCATAGTCATCCAGATATGATAAAAATACATTTTTTTCCGTACTTCACTACCTTTAACTTAATGCTTCTGCTAAGCAGGGTAAAATTAATCAGGAGGGACGTTTTGTGTGCAGTGCTTTATGTTTTTTCCCAGTTTGATTGTTCTTAGAGAAAAGTAGCCTCCTCGGGGAACAGCTAAACTCCCAAAATTTCAGAAATGCCTTGCAGAGTTTGCGGAATCGGAATCTTGTTTGGAAAAAAATAAATGCACGTCAGTTACTTGAGTGACGCCAAAGGCTGAGGAAATGTTTCATTTTGTGGAATTCCCTGTCTTTGTTCGCGTATGCAGCATTGCCGTGTCGAGAAAGATTCCTAGTGGTATACTTTTTGGAATTCTTACACGTGTGAACATTTTGGAACGAAAATTGCACATGCAAATTCAGCGCTCATGAAAATATTGGCGATGTTTACGTCTTGTGTTGTGCTGTAAGACTGTGTCTTGTAGGCCCACATGTAGTTGTGATGAACGCATTTTTTTTTAAATGGCGCTTTCAGCAACTCGGGCTATTTGGGCCAATAACTGTACGTTTATTCATATACTCTATTAATCAGCATCACATTACGGAGTTAGGAAGAAGGTCCAGTTTTAGAGGCAGGAGGAAACCGGAGTATCCGGAGGAAACCGGAGTATCCGGAGAAAACCTGCAAGAGCGAGTAGGCCTATGGACTGGAAACCAAATGCACTTAAAGCCTGGGCCAAGCCGGGACTCAAACCCGGGCCTCATTGGTGCAAAGCGAGGAAAGGACCGCTTCGCTAACCCGCTCCATGCATGAACACATTTGAATCAGAAACCAGGTTATATAATGACCGTTTCTCCATGACTATCGATCATCGCCACAGACTGAGCCGAGGAATGTCGGAAAAGAATCGGCCTTGGCAAATCGAAAGGATTTTACATTTAAAAGGCACCGCAGCACAGTGTACCGGGCGCTTAGAGTTACGTCATTGATGTCGCAATTGTGGAAACAAAATGGCAGGTATCATGCACTGGTGCGTATACTGGGAACACTGCATTTTGGGTTCCAAAGTTAGAAGTTGACGCTACCCTCTCTGTTTGCAGATCAGGCCCGGTGTACAGCTTACATGCGCCGCCCAATCGGTCCTCCATTTTTATGTCTAAGTTTCAAGGTCGCTGTATGTACGGCAACATTCCATCCATGCCATACGAAGGGGTGTGGTTTTAATCATTTACAGCGCCCTCATGTTTGGAACTTGCGGCGAACTTGCATAACCAAAGTTAGTCTGCGTGTTTTTTATCACACAACTATCTAGGGATACACATGTACATTCCCATGGGAAAAAAATATGGTTTTGCCAGTCTTGAGAGGAGACTAGTCTTCAGCATCATGGAAGCTTCCAATGTTGGACTTCCCATAAAAAAACCTAAAATTTATACATGTACAGGTACATGTAGTTTTCTTTTTTATGTTTTGTGCTTGGACAGTTCAGGGGCGTCCCTAAATTTGGAGGGATCGTCGACTACACTGTTCGTGACCGTTTTCATGTCTTATTTTGTAATGCTGTTATTCTTAATTTTTATGCATGGCTAGTTCGTGATCCAATAAACTGCCACGATTATACATGTAAATAACTGTCGACACATTGCCCATCATCCACGCAGTTGCGGACGTCACCGTGATCTAGCTAGCGTGACGACAAAAAATATGACATGGAAAGACAACTAACCATTACTCTGAATGATGAGAAATTTAATAAATATTAGGCACAATGGAATCATTTCAACCTCCAAGACAGTTTGAAAATGCAGTTGCTAACACCGGCAGGTCAAGCATATGCATTATATTTCACTGATTAAGGCATGTATTATCAGATTGGAAATTGAAGGAGAAAGTAAACTAGTGCCGAAATGGTCACAATTATTTGAACATGTTGTTGGAAAGGTTTTTCAGAGTACAGATCCGATCCATCTGTGGCGATGAGAAAGCCCGGCTGTTGAGCCCTATTATGCAACCATTAATATTTTTCATAAAATGTACAGTGATGAAAAAAAGTGTGGGTGTGTGCAGTTGCCAAATGCAATGTAATCCTGGTCGGAACAGCACAGATTCACAGTTGTTCAACATTCATGCCTTGGATTTGTTTTTTAAAAGCTATTCAGCTGCAATCATCTGAGTATTTTGTTTTGATGAGGGAAAAAGACAAGCTTGGAATGCTAACAAAGCTGAGTTCTTAAAGTGATACTTGACTTATCTTACTTGGTTGTATGCTAAAACAAATCAACAGTCTGGAAATACCTTTTTCTTGCTCTAAACAAGCGAGCATACGGAATCTACACGTGCACACATGTACATGTTTCCACTACAAAGTTCCAACCAATGAGGACGTCCATTGACGTTATTCCAGCACAAAATGTGAGAAACGCTGAAATTGATGTGAAGCACAGATGTTCATAGATATGTAAACAACAAAACATCAAAGTCTGAAATGTACAAATAGCGAAACACTAAACGGTGTTGGTGAGCTCTGTGTATACTTTCATTACGTGCGCGATATTATGGTGGGAATGAAACCGAAAAGACGAAATGAAACCAATTAAACCAAACGCAGAATTCACTACTTTGCTCCCTTAATAGCGCACTGTCAATACGGGCGATTCACAATATTGCGCCACCAAGAGTTTGCAACACGTTGGCCAATCAAAACGGGCGAAATTTGTCGACCCTTTCTAAATGTGCATTGGGTCGGCAATTTTCGCGCACTGTGATTGGCCAACGCATTGCAAACTCTTGGTGGCGCACTGTTGTGAAACGGCCGTATTTTACCAGTTCAAATGAAACGGCACTTTGGGACATTGTTGAAATCGGGAGTTCTTGTTAGTGCGCAAGAACTGACGCTCCTTTACACCCGCAAGTATATAAATAAGACTCCACAGCAATCAAGTTATCACATTTGCTTGTAAAAAATCTGCCATACGGACAACTTATATCAAAACTAATGCACATGCAAGCTCGGACTCGGTGCCTCGACGTGCGAGTTCAATATGTTAAGGAAATGATCCCGCGTCATCCATTAAACGAATGATGAATAGTACTGCTGCTCAAACACTGACTGTATCGATTATATATATAAAAAAAAACCACATAATCGGAAATTTTAAGAAATCAAGTGGAACGCAATCTTTGAAAAGTTTCAAATGCTTTCAGGAAGGCACCGATCAGCCCCTTTCTGCCTTCGGCTGCATAATTACATCAAGTCTGCGTCTATCTAAAGATAAGTGTTTGTTATATCTGAAATTAATGTCTACACTTGTGAATACCTGTCTATCATAATTAACAAACTGGTTAAAATTACTATGGATATTTTCACCTTTGTTATATCAAACTTGATGTTAGCGTGTATATAATCATTTTCAATTCAATTTGGGAATACTGGATCCATTTATACGTCAATCACTGATCCTTTCTTTGGTCTCTGCGTAGACTATCGGGGAATTACTCATTAAATAAATAATGAATTATTTCAGAAGAACAGACAATTGATAATGTCAGTTAATTTTTCTTAAACAATAAATAAGGAATGTCACCGAAATATAAAAATCAGTCCATGAATAATGATAAATTACACAATATGATTTCAAACATCTGAGTTGCGCAAATTACAATAGCAAAAGATACCAAGACACTTTCCAAAGAACCCTTTTACGAGAAGGCACTGCAAACGCACTGATGCACTGTATAGAAATCTTCTCAGAGCAACAAAAAGCAAACATTACAAAGTTCTTGGTGTGGGAAAATCGAGGGCAATATTGGCCGCAACTAACTCTGCACTGCCTTGCTCAAGATTTTCTGAACCACATTCTCGATTTTAGTCGCTTGCGATTGAGTTTGTCCCGTCGGACTACTTTCGCGTTTACTTTTGCTGCTTCCGTCTAAAACCCTCTGACTGTCACCACCGTCGTCTTTGGAGTTGTCAGCCGACAGGAGCTCTACGTTCGCCGTAGTATTCGCGCCGATGACCGCCTCTTTGTTCTGATCTCTCTCGGAGACTGCTTCGTCGTTCCTCACACCATCTTTGTCAGAACAGTCGGGCAGCGTGGTGAAAGTTTTGAATTGGTCTGGTTTATCGTAGGCGTTATCGCTGCTTGGGGATGCCCTGTTGATGGGCACGAGTGGTGGGGGGGACCCCAGTCCCAGGACAGATGAGGGGCTTCCAGCCATCAAGGCAACCATAGCTCTCGGGATGGGCGGTTCCTCGGGCTGAGAGCCCGTCGCTCCGGTACCTTGCGCACTGGAGCCCTCGGGTAACGCTTCGTTCTCCGCGCTGCTGCAGGTAGCCTGTGTGGGGCTCCTCTGCCCGGTCTGACCGAAGTAGTCGGCGACCTCAGTGCTCACCAGGTGACTCTGGTAGCCCTGGAGCTCAGTCTTGATCTTCTTGGCCGGCGATGGACAACCCGTGGAAGACGGGGGAGACGGGGAAGGGGATGGGGACAGATTGGTCTCCCTGGAAGGGTCGTAGACGTATCCCTCCTCGAGATGTGATCGCCGGTGCAGCTTCAGGTGGACATACTGCGTAAACTTGGCCGGACAGAGCTTGCAGGTGTACGGCTTCTCGCCGTTGTGGAGCCTCATGTGGGTCTTGAGGTTGCTGGTGCTGCTGAAGCACTTCTGGCAGACATTGCACCGGTGAGGTTTCTCCCCGGTGTGGACGAGGTGGTGCTTCTGCAGGTGGGCGTACTGGGTGAAGCCTTTGCTGCAGACCTCGCATCGGAAGGGCCGCTCGCCGCTGTGCACCCTCAGGTGCACCTTGAGATTGGAGAGCTGACCGAAGACCTTCTGGCACACGTTGCACTCGTACATGATCTTGCCGTTCCTCCTGGGCAGTTGATACTCCAGAGATTTGTGGCCGTACTCCGTGTTGCCCACCGGCCTCTTGCGAGTCGACGTTTTGCTGAAAGCTTGGTTTGACTCGACTTCCTTTCCTGACTCCTGTTTGAACTTAGACTGGGAGTGGGCATCCGCGAAGGAGATGGGCAGTGGGAAATTCGCCACGCCGGTTGGGAAGATATTGCCCAGGTGTGTCGCGGTGGTTCCGGGAGGTGAAGTGGTCGGGGGACTGGTGTCCTTGGGTGACGTATTGCCTCGGATGTCTGACTTGGAGAGACGGGGTTCAAAGCCGTGGGTAGCGAGAATGGATGGGGTTGGAATAATGTTCATTCCGTTTGGCAAAGTTGTTCTTACTAGAAGAGGATTGTATATATACGGGGGCATGATGAAGGGTAGACCTTGGTGGCGACCCACGTGCATGGGTATAGGCTGTGGGATGAGTACCCCGGCTTTGCTCGCCGCCTCTGCTATGTGCTTGGGGATCTGATGGGCAGGTTGCGGCTTCAACTCGGCCATGCTCTGGGGCATGGCGCCGCCAGCTCCGGTCTGCACGGGGGAGGTCTGTGGGCTCGTCATGGGCTGGCCGAAGCCCGGCACGGCGGCCGGGCGCTTGGCCGAGAACCTCTCCGGAAATCCGGCGGCGACGACCGTCGCAGAAGACAGGCTGGTGGCTTTCGTGGCTGCATTTGCCGTTGTTTTTCCCGATGAGGTGTTTCGAGAGGTCATGCTGAAGTCCAGTGCTTCGTCGTGTTTGGGCTCGTCAACAGGGGAGGCACTGGTCATTTTCGAGCTGGCCCCTGCAAAATTGAAGTAAACAGAAACCAAAAACCGAATATTTAACAAGAACTTCAAGTGACTTTATATGAAAATGTATCGGGTGAACCAAAGTGTGCATTTTTACATCACATTTCATAGTATTCAGCTGTGTAACCAGGGTAAAATTTCAACGGGTGCACAATTTTTTTTAGGGGGGGGGGCCGAAAGTCGATAAACCGTGGCTTGTGCACAGGTTTTGCACATCTGAAGATTGCTCGTGCCCTCGTCATTAAGCCATAATTCATACTCAATACTCTACAAAAGCCTTTTCCCCATGACACATAATCGAAACGGCCCTGGTTAAATGTAAATGATAACGACAGAGTATGTACTAAAAAAAATAAATAAATAAACTAGAAATGAAAAGGAAAATTTGTAAGCACTTTTTCAAACATTTTCTTTTGGGAGCATTTGGCAGTTTCTCTCACGCTAATTATGTGTATTTAACTTGCAACAGATGTTGTCACAAAAAAAAATGAAAACGAAACTGCTGCCTGGCTGCCTAGGCTTCATTTTTTTATTGACTTTTCCGATAGTCTCTCAATTTTCTGGCAGTTAAAATGGAATTAAAAACAATTTAATTGAAATTAATGAGCGAGTCAGCAGAGCGATGTCGGAATTAATATTACGGCGTGGTTCTAAAACCCATTCATCGATTGGAAAAAGCAGCGATCGCTTGTGGTCTGTCGTGTGCAAACAAGTACATGTAGGCTATGTCCTCTAATGAATGGGAAAGACATTTTGGCTGCCACAAACATTGGCACTGGGGGAAATCGATTCATCTTACAGAGGTGACAAATTGTTGGGAGGGAGACATGATATTGACCCATACTTGTGCACACTTGCACACATCACATTTGTTGTGACTATAGGCTATCATGTGCCATGCATGTAGCATTCAATCCTCTTTTGTGAAGAAAATGAAAGGGGGGCGTTGCATCTGTTTTGAAAACGATTCAGGCGATGAATACGGGGACGAATCTCTCGGTGAAAGTTGTCAAAGAGCATTCGTCAAGAGCTGTCGAATTGTTGATGTTTGTACCATATCGGGGCCAGGATCCTTTCTTGGAGCAACACAGGCTTACTTCGGTGTGCTCCAGAAGATCTGAGCTTTTTTGTTGTCCCAAAAGCTTGCCCCTGCAGGAGACTGAAAATTAAATTCAATCATTCAAGCGGCTTGGGCCAATTTCCCCATGCACAGAAACCACTCCTCCACAAACGGAAACTATGGAGTCACTTTAAAAGCACTCAGTTAAGTCGGCAGTTCGATGACCCAGAAAGAACCAATTCTCATGATAGACATCTGGACAGCCTACATACAACAAAAATATGAAACTCACCTTTCCCGCCCTCGGCCGTCCCCATCTCCATGACGACTGGCTGTTCCAGTCGGCGCTGAAACTCCTTACAATACCACACCAGCAGCTCGGTGCCTTCCCGGATCGGCTTGACCGTGTAGAAGTAGATGTCCGTATCGTACTGGCAGGCCACCAGGTTCTGGTCGCAGGCCGAGTTGGCCGGGTTCACGTGCCGCATCCAGTTGCTCTTGTGGGGGTCGAACCCGTCGATGTAGTGGATGAACTTCTGCGCCTTGTAGATCTGGGAAGAGGGAGACGGTGGGTAAACTTGAAAGCGTTGAACGACTCTGACCATACAAGGATAATAAAGCACGTTGATACACACAATCGCACTTGCACTTGGAGTGATAGTTTTTCCACACTAAATCCATTTCCTCAGTGGATGAAAAAGCGACTGCAACACTAGACGCATGTGCCATCTAGGAAATTGTTTAACCAGGCATCCTATTTTATATCCGGGGAAAAAAAACTTCCGCTAACGTCATGCCATTTCTGAACTGCAACTTTCATTGATAGGCCTATCAAGTCATGACCGGACAAGCTATAGGTCATGTTTGCCAGCATGCCCTAAGGCGGAATGTTTTGATCAAAATTGACTTGACTGTCTCTTTCTTTCTATCTGCCTCTTCTCTTGATGTACTTGACAAAAATCTGCCTGAACTTGTCAGAAATACTAATCAGTAATGACGCATGATTCATCGCATCGTGGGAGTTGGATAACTCGACGTATAGTTAGCAACTGAGTTCGCAGGCGTCAGCTACACGGTGCACAAACTGAGCATGTATACATCAGCGGCCTTCCCCAATATGCGAGCGTTAAACAGCCCCGCGGGATACTGCACTGGGACGTCGCAAAAGGAAAAACGGGGGGAAAAATTACCCCACTCTCGAGGAGAGTCTACAGCTCGCTGCGCCTCATTCAGGCCGTGTCCGGATTGGGTGCATCAACGGTTGTCCTAGGCAGCCTCAGCTCAACCTCGTTCCCATGGGTACGATCTTGCCGCGCCATGTTGGTTCCCACCATGCCTTGCGCGATCTAGTGAAGGAACGCGCACGCAGCCCACGGAGTTGAGGTTGGCTTCGACTTATCCACCAAGAGCGCTATTTTCAAAAAGCTAATGTCACGATAACTTTGTGCTGACAAAAGAAGTTGTTAGTAGTCTCACCCTCCAGAAGTATTTCCGGTTTGCCTCTCGTGGAACCTCCTCTTCCCTGTAGATCTGCCCGACCAGGGGTCCGAATCGTGTCCCTCGTGGGATGTAATCACCAGCAATCACGCCCACGATCTGTAGGGGAAATAAAGAAGCAATAATGGAACTTCCCGTCAGTTTTGAACTCCAAGGAAGCTGAGGAATTTATACATAACCACATTTCAAACCACTTTTGAATATGCTGCTTTCGGAAAGAAGATACAAATACGAGGGGAACACGGCAGCCCTAATTTGGGACAGCGCTTGAGTCGGAACTCTATTGACACAAACACTTACTTAAAAAAGAAAAATAACCTTAGATGTTTAAACATTTGTGCATGGGCCCTAGTGCAGTTCTGTCAATAGCTGGAACATGCACTCGATATAGAATTCTGAAAGTATTTTCAAACTATGCCCAAATAAAATGCAGCTGAATCTATAGCAACGTGCTCAAAGGTTAACGTGGGCTGGGACCATCCTTCCAGTCACAAAATATGCAAAGCGCACAAAGCAGAAAGTAATATTAATGTCTATATAATGTACGTTATCTTGACAAGACCTAAACTGAAACTGCGCTTTGATATTGATAACTTGTCCTTTACTTGGCGCATTAACATTGTCCAACGTCTGTCGCTCAGTGTTGGCGTTCACAGCCAATTTAGAAAATGACACAAGGGTCTAAAAGGACTGGACTGTGAACTGCCTTTTTTTCTTTGCTAGAAACTGAAATGCACGCTTAGATCTGACGCGTTTCTTTACTCCGTGACGACGTGAATCACCTGCCTGAACCCCTGTCATTTATTGACAGGGGTTCAGCTACCGTGTAGCTGAGCTTTTTGAACGGTCACGATTAATCATAGGGGTATATATGTCGATTATAAACTAACTGAACTGTATATTGATAAATGGTCCTTATTGCACGAATTGATTTCCCATAAAAATCACAGGTGATCAACATTAATTCAATCAACATTAATATTAAAAATTGAAAGAGAAAGATCGGCGTAGGCCTTGTACTGCAAGCTCAAAATCTGTCGTTTCTTATTAATTTTGAAAAGTAAAAAACAAAATGAAACAAAACAAAACAAAACCCCCAAAACAACAATCACAGTCCGAACTGACACTGCAGTTTTAATTTTAAAATGTTTTCAATAAATCTTTCAAGTGCACTGCTTATTCCTTTGTAAATTTTGTATCACGTTCGAGGAGTCTATTATGCAATTTTCACAGCGGTGCTTTTCACTTGTAGTGCCTACTCTGTCAACGTCCGTATAGTTCCATTATACTTTGCATAATATGGGTAATAATAAAGGAATAGGCGCGGCGCTTTTTCGATTTCATCCTGCGGAGTGAGGTGAAATCTCATGCGCTTCTTTGAAATAAGGACAATTATTCGAGACCTGATTTTGCGAGATTCTCCACTTTGTTTCTAATTTATGTGATTCTCTTCTGACCCATTAGGGGTAAACAGACGTTCGTTTTGTTAACTTATAGACATGGTGGTGAGTATGGCTAATCATTATATATTGTCTATAAACGTTGTTTCCAAGGCAACCATTTTTTTCTGGAAGTGACCCAGAATAGGTAATCCGTTAATTGCAGGTGACGTGAGGTTCAAAGAAATCAAGGTGGGGTGGTTGCTGTGTCATTTTTGGGCACTTTATTTGAACACAATGAAAATGATAGTATACAGAAAACCCTGACGGAAATAAAAGTTGCTTTTACGAGGCTGCAACAATTATTGGCTTTACCGGCGACGAATCCTTTTTGACAGCACACTCATAATGTTTACCGATGGAAAACTGCACGCTTATGGTCAATAGGCCTACCCCTTTCTGGAATGATGAAACTACACAGGGATATCATTATTTGCTCCAGTTTTCTTCATGAAACCAAATTTGGGTATGGACTGAACGCTCTGTCTGAGGTTTCACTTTGGCTCATTCAATGAGCTAAGCACGATTTCAAGAACATAGCCATTGTTGAGAACACCTGTTGCTGAACTGCCCATAATATGGGCGTGGGCTCTTGTCAGTCCTCAATGCTTTCGAGTGTACTCTAGATGCCGGTATCGACAGCTCTCATTTAAGGTTGTCGAGCTCGAGAGACTAAACTAAGTCATCATTATTTCGGCTTTCACTTCCCTGTGTGAAAGACAGACGGTAGAGACGCCACCTATGGCATATGCATTGTATTTTCTTGTGGTAATAGCTTCGAGAAACCAGTTTTTCTCCGGAGAGGGATACTTTGTTTGACGTCCACAGGCCGCGATAACAAAGCCAATGAGCTGATACGGAACAGAGAGTCGACAATAATAGCGACGACAGTCAGGTTGAAACAAAATGAAATACTGTACATGAATGTCACGGGTGTTTGGAAATCTGTTGAGATCAGCATAATGCTCATGTCACGTCCATTGTTAACATCTGTTCTCGTCCACATAGGATTCGATAACAGTGCTCCATGGTCATGCAATGTTAGCATCAACACATTTTCCTTTCCTCTTCCTTTCCTCAACTGTTCGTCTGCCAATTAAGCCACTTGCGACAAAAGACCCATCTATGCCTATTCCAAATCCCTGAATCCCACAGCACACCTTTCCCAAGTTTGCCGCCGATTCACTAGCCCTGCATGGTCAAGGCGTCTGGCGATAGTCGATTGTCGACCAAGGCTGTATACAGTGAGCCGGCGTGCTAAGCACGCGAACGGCCAAAGTCGGACCGTTTAATTTGTCGTCATGATATGTTTTTTTGTACTATCCGCCCGTTGGCCCCTCAAGACAATACCGACACTTGCTTATTCACTATACGACTAGTCTCTGTGTTCAGCAGCACCAAGTGGACGGTACCGATATAATGTCCCTCGCCCTTTGAACCTGACGAAAATGAGCCGGAGGCGTAACTTTTTTCCTAGGAAGGTTAGGGGTTATTAACATATACGGGCGTGGTTAACTGCAACCTCGATCAGGTTAATGGACAATCAGAAACTTAAGTGCTAAGATAAATGCCGGGCTTTGCTTTCCTATTGTAATAACATCCACCAACCAACTATTCCCCACCAAGAAAACAAATACTAGTTGTAGACTCTAACCCTCGGCATGTTGGTTCTAAGTGAAACACTCTTCTAACAAAGCTACCACGCAAGTCGGCCAAAAGAGCAATTTATTGTTTCTTATACTTAAAAGTTCGTGTGCCCCCTTTATGATAATTGCCCCCTTCCTTCCCAGATGAAAAACGCATGCGCAACGGTTAAGATACGCCCATTTTATTATAATTACCCTTAACCTTCCTATATGAAAAAATTACGCGAGCCGGAGTACAATTCGGAACAGCGCACTATTTTCTTTTCAATTTCAGGCCCTTCTCGGTTCCTTTTAAGTATGAAGCACGGGTAAGGTTTTGCAGGGTAATTTTTTCACCCCCTGGGGCTCATGGCACGCCTCAACCTGCTTACATCAGAGCAGGTGTTTTCCTGGTGTCTATTGTTAGTGACAACCTTCGCCCGATCACTCTCTCTCGCCAACTACCAGGCCTTTCTACCTATGAGGAAGTAAAAGGGTGTAATAGCAAGCGCCAAAACAGGGCACATGACCGCGCCAACAAAAGAGCCTTTTGACTTGGGGTATTCAGGAGGGGAAACCCCACACACTAACCCATGTGGAATGTATTCGTTAACTCGCAAACAATGCTTTTTTTCTTCACGTTTTATTGACAAAACTTCCACTAGTGAGTAATAATGATGGTTATGAATTGTCTCATGGGAAACAATAAACAATATCTGAGTCTTTCGATGTACATATTGCGCAAGAAAATACCTATACAGAGTTGAGATTTGGCTGTTTGTTATGAATCATGTAGATCAGGACAAGTTGATCGATTTGCAGTTTGTTTTCTTGCACGTCACCCTTGCAATTTTGCCAAGTGGTTGGCAAACTGTCAAATATACAAATTCCTAATTCACAAAGTGCAGTCAACAAATCTCACGCATTTATCAAAGTACCTATACTGGATGAATGCATACCAGATACATTAAAAGAGAATACTTGCCTCTTTAACAAACGTGCATTTTAGGCACACCTGTTACTGACCAAGGTGAACTTTCATCAAATATTGGTCGCCCATTCTAATGATGGGGCGATGTGAGAAAGATTATACGGTTATAGGCGCTGCATTGACTGTTTGCTAGCAGAAAACAATTCTAGAGAACAATTCTGTGGTCTTCTCATTCACTGAAAACTGGAAGAAATTTTCCGTTCCAAACAAAGTGGACCCTTACCTGGCCATCCCTCTCTATGTATTTGAGATTTGCAGGCAAGGAGGCGGCGGCCCGACACCCGTCGGGGTCTCCCTCGCACGGCTTGTCGTTCACGACGTAGATGCATTTAGACTGGTACTCGGCCTCCTCGAGATCCAACCACCCGTTGCTATCGTCTTCACAACCCATCTTCACGCAGCGCGTGTAATAAGATTTCTGCATCGAAAGCAAGGGGAAAAAATCTTCAGACTTCAAATCAAAAGTTGTCTGCACTTTCATGACTTATGTTTCATTTTGTCCACACACACGAAGTTCTGCATAAGAACATCTGTTAACAAGATGCACTTGGGATTAATGATGCAAAGAACCACAATTAAATAGATATTAATTTTTCGCCCACACAGCTTAACTTGCTGTATAGTATCAACCCGTCACAATATTAGCACAGGCAATTAAAACTTTTGTAGTTTCACTTTCCATAAGACTAGAACAAATAAAACCGGTACTCTACTCTACATTATGACTGATTTGGCTTTGTGGAACGCTGCGAGAGTGCACTGAGAGCTACCAGATGTGGCATTATGTGGCCTCGTTCTTCTGCAGGGGGAACTTGTTTTCCGACGGTAATCAACAGGCCCGCTATTAACCGACCCACGTACCCTGGGTAACTTCTCACCATCGTTATCCATGGTTTTCGTATGAAGTACAAGAAACCGAATTGAATTGAAAGTTGCACCACACATTGGACTGCACGCTTGAACGATGCTGTCTGCGTTATTTAATGCTGTTTACGGCCGGTTATTTTAAACACAACCCCGCGTCATTGTCATGTAAACAGTGGTCTTTCACTTTAAAGTGCATGAAGATGTATGTAAATGCAACAAGGCTTCGCGGAAAGAGTAAAATGTCGCCCGTTATCACAATAATGATCAAGAGTAATGACTTCTCATAATCCTTATTTCTCACTCCTGCGGTTCACTTGAAGAGTTTACTTCGCTTACTTCTTCCATGTGCTTTTGGAAGACAGTTCATCGCGCTGTACGTGTTTTCCCTTTTTTAAGAGATCGGAAAAGAGTTTTCTTCCACAAAAAATAACAAATATTCACACGGTCCGCCGACCGCTGCCTTTAAGTTTTAACGAAATTTAGTGGAGCCGTATAGACATGAAAATTAAAATAAACTAAATAAACAGCAATGCATGACATTTCCCCTCACCGTCGTATTCGAAAGTCTAAGTTTTTCAGCACCAACTGTGAACCAAATCAAAACATCAGTACCCAACAGACCGTTTGCCATACCGATGCTAAACTACGTAGCACTTGTCTATAATGAATATAATTATATTCTGGGTACTCATGTATATTTTACCCAGATACTTGTGAGCATTACTGAAAGTGAAACAAACGCAAGGGGTGCTTCGCGTCGTTCCTACCTGCTCTGGAATCATGTCGCTGTCAATTTGGGCAAGACGGTTCACTTCTAGTGCTGCTTTCCCCATGATCTCGATTCGAACAGGCCAGGCCGAAAACACAACTCATCGAGTGCACTCGCCAAGTCCCAAAAAAATACGTGCCCCTCGCACCACACATCGCATTCACCAACTGGTTTCGGGTTTTGAAACTCCACCTGGCACATATCTCTTTCGTTTTTTTCACCGAGGGGAACATTTCCGCCATCTCGTCATATCGTAACAGGAACAAGGGGAAATTTTTTGACGGCGCAACCGAAATTTTTAATACAATGGGCAGCTCTCGGCTCCATTGTGCGGATTGGCAGGCTTTGGATGAGACAACTTTCACATGCCATTGATAGTCAGATCATGCCCATAGAGAGGGCCTCCAAGGCCAAAAAAGGTCGACGGCTGTTCCAGACAGCAACTCGGATTGTTCATGAAAAAGCGACGTAGAATTCCAATCAGTCTGTGCTTCTCGAAATTTTGCCCCCCCGATTTGAGCAAACTCTCTGCTGTCGCACAATCAGTGTTTGTACCCGCAAGAAAGTTGCCTAACCTGATTTTTTAATGATCAGTCTCCATGTTTAGAGATACTATCAATAGGTAAAAATTTAGGTCATACTGTGTGTACTTTTATTTTGAAGCTTGCTTTGCCTTTTGAAACAGTTTAATGGCCCTGAACTAATGTGTTCATACTCACACCAGCATTTTCAGACCCATCAGTAACAAGAAACCTGTGTGATTAACTCTGTATTATCAAACACTAGCAGGTGGAAATATAAACTATAGCAATCCATTATAAATTGATCCCGGGATAAACTTCACCATAGTGATAAGTCTAACAATACTTTCAAATGCTAATTTTGTTCCCCCCCCTCCCAACAGGAATTACATCTGCACCGCACAGGGTGGCTCAGTTTTGATGTTTTTCACCTATAGTTTGGCTCGTTCTTTCGATTCAGTACAGACGATTTTTACAGGCAAAATGCGGCTTTTGATGACTATCGGCGAGGCAAACATTCATTGAAAATTAATAAGTACGCGGTGTTTGTTTATCTTACACTCTTTAATTCATCCGAGCATTTAGTAGGCCTAATTAAAAACTGTACCATCCTCAACTCGAATAGCCCTCATTGAGTTTCAAAATACGCTCGACCAGGGTCCTCAAACAGACGGCACGGAGACATTTTGTGAAGGTCACTTTTAGAATAATCTTCACAAACGACACAAACGCTGCCATACACATTCCTAATCTCACGCATACCTCCCATATGTTCGTCACAGCCTAACTCAGTGAAGTAAAAACTCGTAAAAATTAATTTTAATTTAAATTTATTCAAGTTTTGCAACCGCAAAAGGACAAAATTAAAACGCCAACCTGAGATATGCATTTAATTGCTTCGTGAAACATCTGTGCCTTCATTTTCGGCGCGCCTTTTTTTGTTCACTATATTTTCAAATAACCGGTTGTATCGTTTTTCTGCCGCTGCATTTGCAAAAATCCTTGCTCATACACAATCACAATATATGCATCCAATACTCAAGAATACATCCAAAACATCCCATACACCTTGAGTCCATCACCCTGTATTGAAACTACCCATGTTCTGGTTTAATTAAAATTCAAAATGATCGTTCAAGCAACAACCGTATCAAAACTTGATGTGTTTGATGCTTTGATTCTGGAACGCAATATGAAGCAAGTTTGCCTAAAGCACACTAATTATTTAAAAATGTATTCGCATTGTTAAGAAGAGATAAGAAAAGTACCTAGGAACATTTACGTGTTTCTCGTATTTTATTATGTCGTTGATCAAGGCGAATGCTTAGGCGCTGTACGATCTTTGCTTTATACCACTTAACTCTGACCGTGATTCCTTTGTACACGAGACTATCTTCAAGTCGTACCTTTGAGTTTGAAGTACCAATTACTTACCAGTGTCTTTCTTTGTTTTTTTATTCAGGAGCGGCTCTCCAAAAGGGTTTCGAGCTTGCAGGTCAATTTAAGGTCCACTAATCTTCCACTGATTTCAATGGATGTGGGACTTAATCTCCTCTCACCACAAGAAGAGTTTATTTGGCTGTGAGTGTGAAATAGTTCTAAAGCAGTTGCCTCTGATGTAGGACGATTTTTATTCAGGACGGAGCCTTTTTAGTGATACTAGAGAACTTTGACCACAATTGGTTTTAGCATCCCTCAGTCAACACTATGCCAGTGATGCCAATGTTGGTACAGACGCTGCATGCTTAGCCTACGCTTTGATCGAACTTAGATTTTCAATTGTCCGCTGAGCAGTTTTCGTCGTCAGTTAGGATTTTTCCATTTAAAAATGCGTTTTGGAAAGAAAACACAACATTCTTATTACGTGCCTAAGTCATTTCCTTCTTAGTGACGCTGCATGAGCATATATGCATAGTCCTGCACGTAGTCTTGACAGTGTAACTCGGTAAACAAAGCAGTTATTGGTATGTCAGCCAGTCAGCTCGTTGTTAGCTGTGCCCTGCGATATTTACAGAAAGTTTAGTTCTTTCCCCAAAAGTCAAGTTCACCAGCAGTTTAAACACCCAAACCCAACCACTTTCGGGGGGGGGGAGAAGAACAGGAGTGTCACTAGCCATTTTACCTGATGCGATGGGTGAAATCATTTGCAGGGCCACCGGGTTATGCTTATTTAGGGAACCGCAGGCTAGGGCAATCTACTCAGCTAACAATTCATGAAAAGGGGACCCTATTTGCACGCGGGATTTCACCATGATCTGTGTGCCCAACCAAGTTTGCCTACCAAACTTTTTTGTGACCGTCCCCACCGGGGGGAAAAAGTGACTTTACACTAGGCATGCACTGCAGATGCGCCATCCGCGTGACCGAACAATGCGATTGGATCGCAAGAGCCGATTGTTTAATCTGAGATCTTGACCTTTGAAACAGACTAGTGAAATCGCGCAGGTGATCACGCAGGCTCTACCTGCCTGCGCAGACACCCCCTAAAAGTGACAATGCGCACGAAAAACAGGCACACGTGCAGAAAAGTAGTGTTCCGTTATCTTGCCAAATTGTGGCAAAGTTAACGACGCTGTCTGGGCCAACAGCCAAGACCGAACCCACTGCGCTAAATTTGGCACGGACCCAAGGAAGGTTCAGCGAACAACTAGAAATAAAAGTGGCGTGTTGCGCGAAAGAGAACAACCCCCGGGGTTTTCCATCTTGATGTGCCGGTTGTTTTCACATTGGTGGTGAATTTGCACCCCAGCACGACTAACGTAGCTTTGCAAAGCCACAGAGAACAACGTTGGTTTATTGTGAGCGACACAAAGGCACTAAATCTATAGCGTTTTCAATCTCACAAAGCACTCCCTGGTTTTTATCTTCGCATATCCGGTTTGGAATCACTAACTCCAATATGTTTAAGCAAAATTGATTATAAAATCAGTACTCGGAATATCCACCTTGCATTTTCGTCACCAAAAAAAAAACCTTAGTGGAATTTCCACTCCTATTTCCACATTCCTATGGTCACAGAAAGCTATCAATAGATGAAAATTACAACAAATCACACCTAGCTTTTAAAGGTAAAAACCGTTTTCCAATAGTCTAAACATTACCCAACCAGCTGATCTGGGTAATTGAAATCCTGAAGTAAGGCAAGATGTTTCTGGAATCACAGGAAATCACAAAATTTCTCGGAGAAGTTTAAATGCTGCTACAGTTTGAGCTAAACTTAAAGCATTGCGTCATGCGAGTACACGCCAGTAAATGACTGCA